CATGATTACAGTGTCATGCACTGAAATGGACCGGAAGTCATTTGGGAAAAATACAGAAGGTACAAAGACTTTACCCGGGCCTCTTGGACCTATTGTGTCTGTCTTTCTTCTCCAGACATCTTTATAAAGTGAAGTCTTACAGAAACGAAAGCTGTCAGGTACATTCAGTTATTCTGAAAAGTTAAATTATATAATTGTTTTCTATAGGGTCTTTATTTATTTTTGACAATTTTTGTCACAGCACGGACAGACGCAGAATGTTTTTTCTTCAAATGCAAAAAACAAAACCGATTTAAGAAACACTGTCTTATAATGAGGTTTAAAGACATCTGAGCAACACAGGTCCTAGGGTTTCAAGTCAGGACTTGTGCTTGTGAAGCAGGTGCTCTACTACTTGAGTTACTTCCTTGCCCCCACACTTTTTTTTTTTTTTTTTGGTTTTGTTATTTTTCAGCTAGGTTTCAAGCTTTTTCCTGGGGTCAGCCTCAGACCACAATCTTCCTACCTATGTCTTCCCACATAACTTAGACCACAGGCATATCATCCCTGGCTTCTTTGTTGAGATGGGGTCTCACGATCTTTATCCCTGGGCTGGCCTCCATCCTTGACCCTCCTGATCTCTACCTGATTAGTAGCTGGAATTACAGGTGTGAGCCACTGTGGCTCATTTTCGCACTTTTCTGAAGCTAAATGGCTACAGACCTCTGTTTGCCTAGTGTCTTCAGTGTCCTGGTGGCTGACAATTGTCCTGCTTTCTGTTTAAAGTTTTACTTCAGCCTGTGGTGTCACAGTGTCCTTCACCCAACAGAAAGCTAAGGTGCAGTTCAGTACACCACCCAGGTCCAGGAGGAAGATGAAGAGATGTGTGCCCCACTCCCCTGGCCAGCCAAGAGAATGTGTCCAAGGTCAGCATGCCAGATAAAATTACTACCCTGGAGAACAAAGGCTCAGGGCCTGAGTTGTCCCTGGTCTTTCTGGGACACACCCTGTGGGCTTCAGGGCCCCCGTCCACTCAGCTCTGACCCCCAGCCTCCCCAAGTGCAGTCACGGAGGCAGGTGGCCGTCCACCAGTCCTTCCACATGGATAATGTGGAAGGTCCACTATGGATAATGACCAGAAGCCTGGTGAGGAACAAGCTCTGCTCCTGAGCGAGGATGCGGGCTGCTCTTAGCTGTGCTGTCCCTCCAGGGATCACAGGACACTGCTGGACCAAAGAGCCACAGTCCATGCCACCTTGGGCGCCTCTCCTGTTGGGAAGGAGCACAGCCATCCTGCAGCTTTGTCAGGGCCTGTGGCAGGGAGGAGCGGCGAGGGTGGGTGAGGGACAAGGACACCCTCCACAGAGATGCAGCCTCTGCCTGCTGCACCAGAGTTGAGGTGCAGGGGAAGAGGGGGTGTGTCTCCCGTTTGCAGTGGTGTGGCTGACACCCCTACAACAGGGACCCATTAGAGGGAGAAAAGTATGGTGCATTTATTTAACCAGAGTTGCAGGAGACACGGGGCCTTCAGAAATGGGGACCAAGGTTCCGGGGACTGTTTTTTGTGCTGAGTCTGTGGTAAGCGAGGGCTGACCAAATCCCACAGATGTGCCTCACACAGCCAGCGTGGCTCACAGGACGATGACATCATCGGAGTCAGCTCAGATTTTAACCTTTCAGGCTCAAGATGACTTAGGATTTTCTGTCCCATGAAATTCATACCAGATAAAACTACCCACCCTCAGCAAGGCATCTGGGGTCACCTCCTCTATGGGGTCCTCCTCTGGCAGATGCTCCCTGAAATGTGAGTCCTGCTGCGTGCTGTGGACTCCTTGTGCACCTGCTCACCCACTCGCTAACTCTCAGATGGGTTTCCTTATGCAGTGAGCATGGAGTGGTCCCCAGACGAGCCACACAGGATTGGGGACCGAGGGAGGTCACCATCAGGTGGCTGCCCCCATGGAGTTTGGAGTCTAGTGCAAGGTGGACTCTGGCATGTCTTGTCATCATTAGGACGGTCTGCCTGCCCCTGCGGGTGCCAGGTAGATGAGTGACTCAGAGCAGTAAGAGTAGGGGTGTGCTTACACATCAGGTCTCAGCCAGCTCATTCCACACTCAGCAGGCCACAGGAAACACGGATGAACAAAGATGCGGGAAAAGTGAAACAGCTTTCGTGTGTGAGGCACAGGCAGCACCCAGAATCCCCCGGGCAGGCCAGATCTTCAGGCAGAGTGGACATCTGGGCAGAAAAGGGCTCAGCTTTGACATTTCCCATGTGTCCAGAAGGTGGCAGCATTGGACAAGGCAGTGGTGACAGGTTCCCTCTTCCTTTGCAGAGAGGGGATTCCCTCAGTCATCACACCCCAGGTGGGACAGTCGAAGCCCTGACGCCAGGTCAGCAGACGTACGAGTGGACTGTTCACAAAATGTGCCTTACACAGCCAACGCGTGGCGAGCTCCTGGTTAATTTGGCTGGAGTTATTAATTAATAGAGGAGGCTTGATAAGGAAGCAGTATAAACAGTGTATGACCCCTGTGCTCTGGAGAGGACAGCGTTGGCTCCACAATAGGACCAGGCAGCCACACCACCTCACCTATGCCATTGTCCGCAGCTACTTCCTCTGCAGGACCAGGGGCTGTGCACAGTGACCTCTGGATGGTTCTGGTGCTGACATCACAAGTCAACCATCCAGGTCAGCCAAATCCACGGACTTCAATGGCCTTGCAAGGCCCCAACAGAAGCAGCAAAAGTGACCCCTCCCCTCCCCCCAGAGGCCGGGTGAAGTTTAACCAACACCTGGACACTTAGCTAAGCATTGCCTTGTCTTTAGATTTTTAAATCAAGACTGGGCATCTCTTCCACTAAAATAACTAACACTCCTGTCTTGGTGGCTTTTCATTACTATGACAAAATACCACAGGCTTGGCATTTAGTTTAATAAGGCTTCATTTGCTCCCAATTCTGACCCAAGCTGGGGCTTTCAGGCTTGCAGAGTCCTAAGATGGTGAAGGGCGGCTGGTGGTGACAGACAGGGAGGCCAAGCGACCGCTTCTGGGTTGCTGGTGCAGCTGGAGGCTCTGAGGAAGGAAGAGGTGTTGAGCTGGGTGATGTCACCAGTCCCTGTGTGTCCTCAGCAGAAAAGGGCCAAAGATTCAGAGCCCATCTCACGTCCTTTCCCGGAGTTGCGCGGTAAGCTGGTGCGAGTTGTCTGCTGTTTCTCATCTCCCACGCCTCCCGAGGAAAGTCTTAGTAGCTCCTCTTAGGAAGCAGCCATGTCCCCAAGGGGTGTGAGGACAAAGCCTGCCATGGCTTTGCCAGGATATCTCTGCTCAGCAGCACAGAGCAGGGGCAACTCCACCCCTCAAACACTTCACTCTTCCCAGCTCCTCAGTTTCTTAGATGGAGTTCCAGCCAGGAGCCAGTAATGCCCCCTCCGTGTCGGCCGGCTCCAGGGCAAGTACGGCCACCTGTGTTTGGTTCTAAGGAGGAAGGAGGGTTTACCATCTCTTGGGGTAAAGGGTCTGGAGTCATGCCCAGCTGGACTACTGTCACCATGACACCTTTGCAGAGGGCACACCTACCTCACATGTAATGGGGAGGACAAGGACACCTGCCTGGGGGCATCCTTTCAAAGTCAATTGAAAACAGAAAAGACAAATGTGCACCCTACGTGTTCTAATGCTAGGCACCTGAACTTTGCTTACCAGACACAGCACCCTTATTGTACACGGGCCAGTAAATTAAATCTGATGATAAAAAACCCTGTCAGGGTTGTGTGACCCACAGCCCCACACAGGCAGCCTGAGCAGAGCTGGGGCGGGGTCCCTCCCTCCTAGGATAACAAGGACTGTGTCCCCCAGAGTGAGGGAGGGAGGAGGAGACCATGGCGGCTGGGCGGGCACTGGCAGAGGCCCAGCTAATCTTCAGTAAGCCAGGGGTGTCCTTGGTCTTTTGTTCTTGGCCCTGAAGTCTCTGTCCTTACCCCAGAATCACAGGAGGCCATGAGTTCTGTTCTCAGCAGGAGGGAGAGGAGAAGACAGACAGGAAGGAGCCAAGCATACACTGAGAGGAGGCAGCCAGGAGATGTAAAAGCCTGGTGGGGAGGGAACTCCGGGCTGTGGTGTTTGCTGTGTCCCAAAGGCCCATGTACTGGAGACTTTGTCCCCAGCTTACTGCTGGGAGGAGCTAGAACCTTTAAGGGCTTAGTGTGCCCTCAAAGCAGACCGTGGGACCCCAGCCCTTCCTCTTCTCCTCTCTTTTGTGTCCCAGCCTCGAGGGGAGCAGCTGTGCTCCACTGGGATGAGCCACCCTGACACAGGTCCTGAGCAAGGCAGCCAGTGGATCATGGACTGGAACCTACAAAACTGTGAGCCAAACAAACCTTACTTCTTCATAAGTTTATTACCCTTGGTGTTTGTTACAGTGACAGACAGCTGACTAACACAGAGTAGTACAATGTGAAAATTACAGTTGAAAAACAGTTTCGGTGTGACTGCAGAACTAAGGTGATTGAGGTGGGAATAACGTTCGTTTCTACAGTTTGAAAATATGCATAATATGTAAATACATTTTAATGAAAACTTCCCCGGGAACAAGTCAGCAGCATTTGCATAAAGGGCAAGTGTGAGGTTGTAATATTTTTTTGCCCTGAGCCTCGCAGTAGCTAGAACTTATCACTAGCTTGGCCTTGATTTGGAAGAGAGACTTAGTGGAGACTTTGAAGCAGAATTGTCTGAAGTAGGTGAGGGGCTGGCAGGACCGTCCTCACCAGGTCGCTGGGCAGCATGTGACCTCCTGGCCTGTCACCTGCTTGCTCTCCCGAGGAACTCAGAATGGGTGTTGACAACATCTGGTGTGACCTGCTTGGTAGAAGCACAGGCTTTGTCTAAGATGAACACTGGAGACAGGAGTAAAAAGTCCACCACGCTTCGTCCCAAGTTTCATGTCCTCCAGGCCAGCTCTCCCCGAGAGGCTGCCTGGGATTCACAGGACATTGCTGGATTCCAAATGAGCGAGGCCTCTACTCGCAGAGCAGGACCTGGGACCCGCAGGCAGGTTCCTGTGGGGGCAAAGGCACCGTGAGCACACAGTCCCTGCTGGCAGCAGGTGACAGGAGCAGCCAGGAGGACGAGGTGGTGTGGCCCTGCCTGTGTCCTGAGCCATGTTTCTTGGTGTGGTGCGGTGGCGAGCCCTGTCTGTGCCCCCTGGTCTGGCACAGCCCTCACTGCTGGGGACAGCATGGTAGCCTCCTCCTCTGCAGGTGTCCAGGCCTCCTCACTCTGAAACTTGGGAGGAAGACGGTCCTCTCACACAGGCCCTTCAAGTGTGGAAGCCATGTTTTTAATTTAAGGGTGGGAGGGAAGGGGTAGGGGAAGTAATGGAAGGGGTTGAATGGACCAAAGAAAAGTAGACTCACAGTGGGACACATGGAGTCTTTGAACATTGAGTTAAATATCAATAATGAGAGCCAGGACTGTAAAGTTGGGGCACTAGCGGGAGGGGGAAGTGAATGAAGGAGATTAAGGTGACAGTGTATGGTAGATGGACTTTACACACCTGTATGAAGCAGAACTAAGAAACCTCTTGGGATGCTTTAAGTGGGGCGGGGAGGGGGTGGGGGGAGATGATGGGGGCAGTGCACAATATAAGTCTAATCGGAATTGTCACTACGAGTCCCCTGTACAATGAATATATTGTAATACAAATTAAAATAATAAATGAGACGTTGTTTCTAGTTGGCCAATCGCAGCTAAACCTCTCAGTGGCGTAAACCTGATGTTTCACCACACGCTTACACCGTGATCTACGTCAGGCTAATTAACTCACGGTCCCCCGTGCTCAGGGCTTGTGACGAGTGTGTGCCGGCCTCTCCGCCATCAGCAGTTTGAAAATGCTCGTGACTAAGTGCCTGGCAGTCGCACCATGGCTGAGCTCTGGACCTGACACTTGTCCAGCTGATGGTTGGTGGCAACCCCCGCTGCCCACCCTGCTCCCAGGACCTCAAGTCGCACACGAGTGTGCACATGATGCCACGTGGCTGTGCACCAGGTGGGCTTGAGTTCCACTGATTTTCCCCGAGACCATAATCATTTTGTCTCACAAAGCCGATTTAAAAGTCGACGTCTTTCAGCTTCGTCCTGTCCGACCTCCCAGAGTTAGCCCTTTGTTTTGACACTGGCCTGTGCAGATCAGAAACATTGTCATTCCTTTCATTCTGCCTTGCTGATTATAATTTTTCTGTACTTTTTAAAATGTAGGTTCAACTTTCTTTTTTGTTTGGCAGTACTGGGGTTTGAACTCAGAGCCTTATGCTTACTAGGCAGGTACTGTGCCATTTGAACCACTCTCCACCCTTCTTTTGCTTGAATTATTTTTGGACAGGGTCCCAAAGGGGTTCTGCACAGGACCAGCCTCCGACTATGCCTCCAGTATAGCTGAGATTATAGCTGTACCACCACACACACCTAGTAGCTGAGATGGGGTCTTGCTAACTTATTGCCCAGTCTGGCCTCAAGCCACCATGTCTGGCTTCAACTTTTGACAAATTATCACTGTTTCATAAATGCAGTTTGTATGAAAAAAAGACATGTAGGAGGAAGGTGCAAACAGAAGGGGACCCAGTACTGAACAGGAGCACAGGGACCCATGTTGATACTTTTATGGACATCCTGGTTTTCAGTGAGAGATGCTCGCCCCGCTGTTAAGCCAAATATTACCAGCATGAACCTACCTGTGAGCCTACCTGCTCTGCTTTCCGAGCTGCTGCCCTGGGCGGTGTCAGCCTCCGCTCCAGACACTTCTTGCACCCCGACTGGGCAGTCGCACTTACATCTCTCCCAGTGATTGGCAGTGTGGCTTTGGTATCGGAGTGTGTCCTGTGGGTAAACACACGTCACTTCTGTCAGAGCCGATGTGACGTGGAAACAGCAGGTGCTGTGCCCCCTGGACTTGAGTCAGGAAAGGTGCTCAAGGCGGCGAGATTCCTCCCCCGGACTCTGCTCAGATCATTCTGGGAACCGCATGACACCAGCTGGTCTGTGCACATCATTGTCACAGGAAAACAGTGTCAGGAGGCACCATGGCTCAGTGGCATCTAACAGAGCTGCACTGGTCACCACTCAGCCCTGCCTGCCTGACTTCATTTGTCATACTTTTAATTATTGTGGAAATCACTCATCAAAGTGCAAAGCCTGAGAGGGAAAAATTAAGACAGAAAATGCGAGCCTGCTCCTCACGTTTCTTTCCATGGGTTTTCATGTTTGCTGCAGATGTTATTTTGTGAGCTGCCTCACAGATGGGCACTGTGGTGGCCTTTGTCAGGGAAGCCGCCCTTCCCATGGACGTGTGACACTGTCTCTGTGCGCACGCTGTGGAGACAGCCTGTCCGAGGACAGCACTGTTTTCCCCTGTAGGAATTCTGTCTTCTGGTCGTCCAGCCACCGATGTCAGCCACAGCCACGAGGGGATCTCAGCTAGCTCTCGTGCTGCTGTGCTTTGTAATCTAGTTGGTATCAAAGGATGGACTTGTGCACTTTTCCTTGGTTTCTAGTAAGGAAGAAGCTGCGTCCTCACGCTGATCCGCTGGAGTCTCTGTGTCTTTGGCCTTGTACACTTTTGAGATTGAACACAGTTTAAAATATGTCAGCCACTGGCGCGTTCTGTTTCCCAGCACAGTGGGATCCCACAAACTCCTCATGGAGAATTTTGTAACATTGCTTGCCAAGATTTGGGACATTTTTCCACATGTGCTCAAATTTCCAGTTTTTGTTCGCTGCAGTTATAGTAATGTATACGTAAGACTTGTTTCATTAAACACACGAAAGCCAGCACACTATGTCCAGGGCACCTAGGAGGCCAGCACGGAGCCTCACCACACCCTCAGGTTGCCTGCCATGCACCTCTCTTGTCCTTCTGTAGGGTGACATCCACAAAGCAATCAGACGACTCCACAGGCACAACTTACAAATACAGAAGTGCCACCACACCGAGGAGTCAACTGTGGGGATTGTCACCAGGTGATAACTAAATAGTCTTTAAGCAGTGAAGGGGGAGGGTGTCAAATGTTTATTTTTGAATAATTACCTTAACAACCTCCCCCCCCACCACCACCAGTCTAAGGGCATGCTAGAGAAATTGTGCATAACTCATAAATGCTATCATTAAGGAATGCTCCAAATGCCTGATAGCTCCACACCACATTTTGCAAAGGCACGTGTGACTCTTTGGTCAATTGTTTTATGAAAAGTTGATGAGTTTTCTGTCTCAGCTCTGATGCACCTGCTCACTGACTGTCACCTCTGCCTGAAGGAAGTCCCTGGTTATCTGACCCACAGCACATGTTGGTAGTGGATCTGCTGGGAATTGTCTCCCTTAAAGATCACACCCCAGAAAGATCCTGAACTCAGCGTGAAGTACAGAAGTCCTGGTCAGCACCTGCAGTTGCCCAAGCTGGCCGTGCAGAGGGACCTTGTCACATAACTCAGTAGCTGGGGAAACAGAACAGAGAGCAGACCCCAGGGACAGAGGCCCTGGTGGGTGACATTTGACTGCTATGGTTCCAAGTTTTGATCATTTAAAAGCCAGCTTCTATAAGATGTGCAAAAGAAAAAAAGTGTGAAATAAGCAAAGAAGTGAGTTTCCCTCTCTTGTTACTGCGTGAGGAGTCACCGGACGCAGGCAGGCTGCTGGAACTTTGAGTTTCGGGTGTCATTGGGAGAATGAGTCCCCTTAGAACAGCAGCAAGGCCATAGACACCGTCCCTAGTCCACTTTGAGGGTGTGCTGGGCGTCAGGCTCTGCAGACCAGGGGAGCTTGGACAGTTCCTGTAGGAAGTCTGTCTCCATGGTCACAGAGAGAAATGGATGTGTGTGGGGGGCTGAACCTGACAGTCCAGGGAGAGGCCAGAGGCAGAGGTCAAGGTGGCCTATGCACATTTGCAGGTGTCCAGGGGGTGGGTGTGGAACTGGCAGGTCCAGACTGGGGCAGCAATGACTTAGTATAGGAGACCCTGTCGTTTGTCTTAATACTTTCTGTTTAAACAAACAGTTACATACCAGAATTAAGTATGAACAGAGTCTGGTTCATTGTTGCAAGGTGAGACGTAGCAGGGTGATAGTGGGGCACAACCTCCTGCAACAGGACCCAGAAAGGTCACACAGCCCCGAGGACCCACAAGCCTGGAAATCTGGACATAGAAACTCCTAAAACTCATCCTCTGAGTGTTTCAATGGCAGAGCTGTTTTTCTGTGTGGTACAAGGATTTGAACTCAGGGCCTTGGGCTTGCTAGACAGGTGCTCTACCACCTGAGTCACATCTCCAGCCCTTTTTTCCTCTGGCTATTTTGAAGATGGTGTTTCTCCTTTTGCTGGGTCTGGCCTTGGACCACGATTTGCCTGATCTCAGTCTCCTGAGTAGCTCAGACTACAGGCATGAGCACTATTTTTTTTAACAAGAAAGTTTGACCCTTAGTTCTTCCCATGAGCTCCTCGTGCACAGGTGACCTTTCTCATTGAGAAACCTCTGTATGAAGCTTGACTCCCAACCAGATGGCATTTCAATGTTACTGATGTATCGAACATTCATAATCTCTGTCCCCATTGTTGGACGCACCAGAGGTGTGTGTGTGACCATTGCACTTCTGCAAGTGGGTACACCAGAAAGCCGTGAGCACTGTCTGGAAGGACCCGAGAGCCATGCATTCGGGATACTCATAGCCCATAACTTGATTCAGAGAAACGAAGTGTGGGTCATGCCCAGACGGCAGGAAATGTCCCTGTGTGTAGGAAGCAGGAAGAGTTTGGGACTTACCACCTGCAAATCACCATCCAGGTGAGGCTCGCCAAACCTCCAACGAGAATCGCACCCAGCACAATGGAGACCCAGGATGCCCGAGGCAGCCTGCCAGGAGTCTGCACCAAAGGAGACAGATTAGTGGGAACAGCCTGGGTGACAGCAGTGTCCCCTGACTCTAGCGTACAGTACAACGCTTGTCTTTATGGAAAAAGCACTTAAATAGCAAGCCCAGCGCTGAGCGAGGGCAGCGGGCAGTGACGGGCAGTTCAAAGGAGTCAGCATTGGGTTTGGTGGTCACGCACTGCAGGGCTAATTGCAGCTGCAGGGTAGATGGAACCCTCCCTCCTGCCTCACCAGGGAGGACACCGAGCATCCCGAGTGAACCTCAGGACAGAGAAGTGGGCACAAAGCAGCCGTGACTAAAGGTCGCGGTGTAACATTGAGACTTTGAGTCTTTGGCTGCATTTTGGTTTCCACAGAGACAGTGCAAAGGTTATTGTGGGGTCTGGGGGCCAACTGAACCCTTGTGGAGTTCAAGCCTGTGGGAGCTCAAGCTGTAAGAGTTTCCAGCTACAGGCTGGTGAAGAGGGACACAGAAGAGAGCAGAGGAGTGAGCAGTTGAAAGCAGCAGAGACATGGCTGCAGGAGTCCAGCCCGAGACCTGCAGTGTGTGGTGCTGGGGCCTGAGCAGGTGCCTCTGTGCTGGACCTCTCTACCCGCCTCCTAAAACAATGGGGATTGAGCAGACGATCCTATGGGCCTGTCAGGCCCTGAATGCTGTGATTTCCAGGGTTTGTTGTCAGTCTGGGCTCTGCTCTCAGTCCCTCTGGTCACAATCTTGTTACTGGCTTTTCTGATGGCTGCTGTTTTTTGGCTCCCTAGGATCCTCCTTGGCCAAGAAGACATCCAGGATGAGAGGAAACTGGTTTTCAAACACCACACATCCTCACCCCACGTAAAAGAGCCAAGCCCTGGGGAAGCACGGGGACGAGTCACCCCCATGGCCGCAGGAAGGCCCTGATGGGATAGTGATGGTGCATGGGGAACTTGATATGACTTGACAGGTCAGCTCAGTTTGTCTTGTTTTTCACAGTGAATGTTCACCACACACTGCTATGAATAATCTGTATCTGGAGTCGAGCTCCTGCACTCCGGTGTGCAGACCTGGGGACTGGGCAGCCAGACACAGGGAGCCCAGCCTCTTCACCTGAGCTCCCCGCTTCCCCTCCTGCACCTGCTGGCCCCCACTCACCTCTCCTCCCATTCCTGAGCTTGGCCCAGCTCCTGTGCTGCCTTCCTCCCCTGCATTCACCCCTGTTGCCACCCAGCCTGTGCTGAGCCCTGGGCACCCTGCTGTATATGGTACCCCTCGGAATGTGGGACTCCCCAGAGATGTACTCAGCCTGTTGCCTCTGTGCAGGACCCAGCCAATGCTCAGGGCTTAACCCCCTGCTGCTGGCTGGGGACAGAAGGTCTCTTACTGTGACTGTCCACGCAGGCTTCATGTTTGAAAGTGTACTCAGGTGAAATGCATTTGGGTGGATCCCATGCCTGCCCCCCAACCCGGCTCCTCTCCTTATGCACTGTCTCCCTGGGGACACAGCACACACCCAGAACTGGGAGGGCGGGCAGAGCCTTTAGCTGGGTGAGAGCAGCAGGAGTTTTATGCAGGGCTCCTTAGAGCTGAATCATGGGTTAAAGGGCGACCAAGAACACAGCACAGGGCATGGGGCAGGGGAGTTAGAAGGTTTGCTTCACTGCCCTTGGTGGTTCACTTTGCTAGCTTTCTGAATCAGCCTTCTTGGGGGTATAACAATAAATGTGAAAGCAGCCCAAATTTCACTCTGTAAACGTGCAGCCCTGTTGCCTGGCTGCCTTGTCAGTTTGCATCTGCAGGGTGTTTCAGACGTTTCTTCACTGCAAATCTCAGTGTGAAAGCTGCCATCCTCTATAGTTTCCCGTGGCCAAGAGTGGTGGTTGTTGCCACGTGGCAGAGCAGGCCTCAGTCCTACATGCAGGACAGTTTTGGCTGTCACCCTGCTCCTCCCCATCAGAACGAAACTGACAGTTGAGGATCTTGAGTGCATTTTCTTGTTTCTTTTCAGAAGTTGGTCAGTGGACACAGGAGAAGGTCACTCACCTACACAGGTCCTCCCGTCCTCAGCCAGCACATAGGGGTCGGTGCACACACACTGGAAGCTGCCTTTAGTATTCTTGCACGTAGCGGAGGGGTGGCACGGTGGGTGGGTCGGGTCTGCACACTCATTAACATCTGTACCAACAGCACAAGGTCAGCGGCAGTAAGGAAAGAGCCCTGTCTCCCCGTGGTCGCCCCTCTCAGAGGCCAGCCCTTGCTTAGAACCACCCCTGACCAGAACAGGAATGCCACAGCCTCACCACCTTTGGACCTGTGTGGCTGCCTCTTGCTCCTTGTGCTCCCAGAGGGAGAAGGGGTGAGGCACCTGAGGAGCCCCTCAGTGCTGGCCTGATGACCAGGCCTCTCCCACCAGCTCCTGAAGATCTTCACCAGCCATACCCTTGCCTATCTGCCACGCTGACCCTTCCACCCAACCTTTGTTGTCCTTTCTACCTGAGCATCCTACATCTCTCAGGATTGGCTCCAGCGATGGTCACTGACCATGGGCCGGTGCACTTCTCCTGCCTTACCATGTGGGACACCTCTGGCAACTCGCACTGGACACAGCTCCACCAGACTCACTGGATCCACTTGACTGGACCACACTGTCTGGAGGGCCCTGTGAGCAGCAAAGGTACCGACTGGCCAAATGGACACCTCACCCTCTTTTTCTCCACCTCATCCTGTCCTGGAGGCTCAGAGTTATCCTACTTTTGCATTTCCTGTGGCTGTCATGAGCAGACACCACAACCGGTGGCTTTTCATCAGAGTTTTGGTCCTTCTCAGGACTGGAGGTGAGTCATCCAGAATCGAGGTGTCACAGGCGGTGTTCCTCCCGGGGCTCCGGGGGCTGCTGCAGACTTGGATGTTCCTTGACTTGGAGTCACATTGTTGCAGCCCGCAGTCTTCCTCAGCCGACTGCCTCTGTGTCCTCCTCATCTCATAAGGACACTGGTGAGAGTCATGCCAGTCTTTATTTCACCTCAATGGCAACTGCAAAGATCTGTTTCCAAATAAGGCCCCATTCTGCTGAGCCAGGGCTTAGGACTGGAGCGTATCTTCTGGAGATGGTCCAGCAATGCACTCTGCACGATTGGTTTATTCTTATCGGAAACCACTCCAGGGACAACATGTGGTGGTCTCCTGGCTGAGGACTGACACAGAGGCCCGTGTGACCCGCCCACCCTTACAAAAGAAAAGGGAAATGGCTCTGAGGCAGGCAGAGTTCCCAGACCCCTGAGGCTGCTGGCATGGAGGCCGAGGCTCTGTGTATCTGACTGGATTCCCGTGACTCTCAGGAAGAGCAGCAGACCATGTTCCAGATCTGTTCCTCTAAGCTGGTCCATGTGGCTGGCAGATGTCACTTTGTGCAAGTCACAGAAGCTCTGGAACACACTTATCTGTGGCACAGACTCTTGATGGTGGCTGGAGTGAAAGCCACAGACACAGCTCTCAGCTTCAAAGCACTAAATGAGAATCCTTACAGCATCAGCTGGGTTTTCTTGTCAGTTTTACGTGGATGATTCTGGCAGAGAAGTAGGATTTGGACTGAGAAGAAAGGAATCTCGTTTGATTTTCTGTGTTAAACACTTAAGCTCTCAGCCTTCCTTTCTGAGGTCAAAGTCAGACGGGGCAGGCAAGCTGGGGTCAGTCTAAACACAGGTTCATGCCAGTTTACCCTAAGAGTACTGAGGTCCTCCACTGAGCTCACTCTTCCTTCTTCCACTGAAGAGTCACTTTTCTCTTTGTAATGTTTCTGGAGGGAGAAGACGGGTGAACATACCTGTGTGCAGTTGTGTGTATCACTGGGCCCTTTGTATTTATTTTCAGAACATTGTACTTTGATAATAAATGCAACAAGACAGAGCACATCGAGTTACGTAAGTAAATGCTGGGGGGGGGTCTCTCTGTCCAGCTCGTTCTGCTGAGGTCCCAACACTAACCAGCTCCTAGGCCCTGCCACACTCTCTGCACATTCAGAGACCTTCATCTGTGCGACACTGCTTCCAAACAAACCTGAATTGTTCTCATGACACATGTTACTCTGTAACTCACCCATTCACTTGGTGACATGCAGTGGGCAGGGTTCCACACCGGTCAGTCAGTCGACCTTTGCTAATTTACTCAGTTCTATGATCCACAGTGTGGATGCATCCTGATTTGTTTTTGAACCAGCCTTTGATCACCCACGGGCCTATTCTTCATGCTCTTTGTTCATTAACTGATTTAAACTGACCACCATGCTCACTGTATGCTGAGGCCTTGGGGCATGAATCTGAGCAGTGTTGGGGTGCAGTGGCCAGGTGAGGGTGTGCAGTGGGCAGCTGCTACACTTGGGAAGGAGGGACATGACCGGGGCTGGTTAACCAGCATCTCAACTTTGAGAGTGCAGATCTGACTAGGAGAGTGGGGGCCTGAGATGTTGCATGTTTCACAAACTCCCAGGGATGCTGTGTCTGCTGGGCACGGAGCCCACCTCAAACGCCCACTCTACTGAGCAAGGGTCACACCACCAAATGCTCCTCTGCACCGTGAAGCATGAAGACCAGCTTAGACTGGAGCTGTTCTTCACTGTTAGTCCTGCACACCTGCCAGCCAAGCAACCAGTTTTCACGGTAGGGAGCCATCATTGGTGGAGTGAAATCAGGAGCACCGAGGGTGTGGGAATGCCAGGGAGAGAAGAATGATTTTGATGACATTGTGATACTGCCCAGAGGAAGGGATAAGCTGTATTTTGGAGAGTCATGTGGACCAGAACATCACATAGTCAATTCATGCAGGGCCATATTGGCTCCTTTATTGTGATTGGCAGAGTCTGGTGGGTAGAGACTCGTAGTGTCAAATGAGTAACACAAATAGTCAAAATGTAGAATGCCCAGGCAAGACACAAGAAGAAATAAGGTTATCAGCCGAGAGCACGCGCACCAGGCTGGTTAGACATGAGCAAGAGATGTGCACATCTCTGGACATCTCTTGACTGCACCACCAGTGTGGGAAACTAAGAATCCTGGGAAAAGTGAGCATTTGAATTTGTGGCTGGTTACCCTTTTCTCCCCAGGGTCGGCGACACAACACAGTAATTCAGAATGATGACAGTGGTGTGGTGATGTCACCCCACACAGACAGCCGGGGGTCCCGCAAAGTGAGGCTGCTGGAGAGGGTCCCCGATGGCGTTCGTAGTGTGGTATCCTTGTGCTTGTTCTCTGGAGCACTGTCTACCTCCTGCTTCTTTTCCTGTTTACTCTTGTTGTCAAGGGAATCTTTTAGCTCTGGGCCTCACAGTCCACTTCCCACAGGTGCAAATCTGGGAGATGAGTTTTTTTTTTTCAGGATGGAGGTATGAACTCAGGGCCTACACTTTGAGCCATTCCACCAGTCCTTTTTTGTGATTTTTTTTTTTTTTTTTTGAGATAGGGTCTCGCAAACTATTTTGCCTGGGCTGGCTTCAAATTGCCATCCTCCTGATCTCTGCCTCCCGAGTAGCTAGGATTACAGGCATGAGCCACCAGCACCCGGCTTTTTTTTTTTTTTTTTTAACAGATGAGATGCAGGTTTCCAGCTCAGGCTGGTGTTTTCTGGCAATGGCTTCCATCCCCTCCCTGTCCAGTTTCTGATCCATCCATTCCCAGTCAGCTCCAGGAGCCATTTGCTGTGCTCAGCACCGTTTTACACACACCTGTACCCAGCCAGATCTCCGCCTCATCCCACTTTCTCAGTCTGCAGCAAAATACTGTGCAGAGCCTGCCATGAAGGCATGGTGGGCAGCGCACCTGGATCCCAGAACAGCCCCCAGCTTCTCTTTAGCGCTCAGAGTCTAGAAGCAGTGGGCAGTAGCCATCGCAGCCTTTCAAGGACAAACTTTTGGATTGCAGAGTTTGAATGTTCATGTGGTGATGAGATATAACAGCATCACGGTCCAAGTGTGCAGCTCGGGGGTTCAGCCCACACACATCACTGTGCAGCCAGCACACACTGTTTCCACCACGTCCAGAGCGCTTTCATCTTTCCACACAAAACAGAAAATCCTAAAATTTTGGATTTTGTTTTCATCTCTGCTTGCAAGATTAAAAAAGCCAAGTTCTTGCATGACTTCATCTCCATCTTCTGGTGCTCTGCTAAATGCAGCTCACAGCAAGCCACCCACAGAGGCTGGCTGATTCTGGCACCAGCCTCTCCCCCTGGGACAGTCTCCGTGGGCAGCAGGTCTGTCTTGCAAGTGACTGCTGGTAGGCCAATGCTTTCCCTCCAGCAGGAGGGACCACTGCCTCCCCACCCCTCACCACACCTGACCTGCCCTCTGCAGCAGAGCTCAGGTTTGTTATTAGCGGGGGGCTCCCCTGTATTTAGCAGGAGACAGCTGCTCCAGTAATGAAGCCTAGTCTTTAGGGGGCGACAGCCTAGGGTTCATCTCCAGTCTGGCCTCCCAACAGCAACTAGAGGGCTTGGGGGGTGCTCAGGGGTGATACCCACTCCCTGCAGTCAGAAGGGAGCAGTGAGTGGAGGTGGCCAGGAGTCTTCGTATAGCACAGCCTGGGCGCTGCCATCCCCTGGCTTTTCTGCTATGGAAGGTGACACCTATCCATATCTAACTGTGGATGGCGCTGACTCTCTGGGTGAGGGTCCTTAGAGTGTAAGCACACCCTTTGTCTCAATAGGGAAACTGGCTCTTTGCCTAGGTCGCCATGTTGGTTATGATCTGATGTGGCTGTCACCCTGCTGTTCTGTCTGGAATGTGGTCAACGCAGGGGACATTCCTTTCTTTCCTTGCCAAACCAGCTCCTGGGAAGACCCAGGGTCAGAACAGCATTTTGGTGAGGAAGTAGGTGTTCTGTGGCATTTGCTCCTAATTTACATTGGGAAATGCTTTGTGATCCCAGTACACCACACATCTTGTGCCATGACTCACCTTTGCAGACCGGAGGCTGGAAATCCCATCCATCTTGGGTGCAGGTCACCTGCTCCTGCCCTTGGAGCTCGTATCCATGGTGACAGGAATATACCAGCACGCGCTGCCCAGCCTCATCACAGTGCACAAAGTCCCCATTGTCCACTTCCTCCGGGAAGCCACACTTGTCATCTGTGCAGTGTTGAAGGTCATAATGCTGTCAGCTCACGAGAGGACAACTCTAGACCCACGTCCCCATCTGTAAGCTTAGGTTGCAGCCTCTTCACCTCAGCCCAGGACTATTTGGAGAAGGGGTCTTCAGAGAGGGGGTTTGATCAGTCAAACCATTGATCTAGGACGGAAGTGCTAAAAGGTACACGTATCTCCACGTGTGGGTGTAGATGATGTATATTCTCTCTCTCTCTCTCTCTCTCTCTCTCTCTCTCCCCCTCACTCTGTGTGTGTGTGTGTGTGTGCAAATGGGTCCCAGCCTGCCACATAAGAGGCTTTGTAGCTAATTCTTAGCTCCAGCTTGGAGCTGGGTTGTGCACGACAGAGCAGGTATGCACAATGTCAGAGAAACAAGTGTTGCGTGCCGGTGTAGATGATTTTTGAGATATAATCTGTCCTGTGTCCTAGATCCCTAGCAGCTCTTAACGTGAGATCGCACCTGCTGTCTCTCAGCTGGGCGACTTGCCCAGGAGACCCAGGCAGCTCCCCCTTCATGTGAGGTGGCCATAGTTCTGTGGCCGCAGGCCAGCATAGACCCACAGCAGAGAGGGAGTGTCGGGAGGTGCTGACACCAGCAGCTGTGCTCTGATGACTCACCGAGCACCCACAGAACAGCACGAGGCTGAGATGGAACGTGCACAGGGCCCTGAAGCCTTTCTAGACCGCTGACTTGATTCCTTCCTCTCGAGGGCGAGGCAAACACACCACACAGGGGACTTAGTGTGCGTGGTACTTTCTTAAAGCGTGGGTCTAAAAGCAGCTTCTTTAAACAGCTATGCTCTTTGTACGTGCTATGATACAACGGAAGGAGTCACCTTGCTGAAAGGTCTCCCGCCACACCTCGAGGTCCATGCTTGGGATGTTGTCACAGGACTCAAAGTCCTGGGGGAATTCTGCAGTGTGGAAGGCATCCACAGGGACCCTGGTGAGGCCGGTGTTGTCACAGATGACTCGAGACAGTGAGTGCTTTTTCAGCTCCCGCCTCTGTGCTTCTGTGAAGACCAGGCTGTTTTCCCACCAAAACCTGTGCAGGAGTGGGCAGGTGAGCAGGAGTGGGGGACTCTGGGTGGCCTCTTCCTGATGTGTGAACACTTCCTGGTATGAATGCCCAAAGCAGAGAGAGAGACACACACACACACACACAGAAAAGAGAGACATACAAACACACACACACAGAGAAAGAAAGAGAGACACACACATACCAACACACACACAAACACACAGAAGAGAGAGAGAGAAGAGGAGGAGGAAGAAGAGAGTGAGAGAACTGGCTATGTAGGGACCATTAAAAAAGGAAGCTCTTTTTTTTCTGCGTGATTGCAAATTCTAACTTGTCATTCACACTGGTCCCTAGTGTGACACCTGGGATCAGAGTGTGAGGCGCAGAGACAAGAAGCTGCTTTTCTGGACCCCCAGCTGCACAAGGTTGAAATGAGGGAAGCAGCAGAGGTGCAGGGCCGGTGGTGGGAACCTCAGTGGTGCATCTGGGCTGGAGGTGAGGTGAGGGATATGGCAGGTGCAGCTGCTGCTCACAGGCCTGGGTGGACACCCAGACATTGTCAGAGAACATCCAAAGGCAGAAGCCCTTTCAAGTGATCAGGAAATGCAGTTTGACGATTGTAAGATGCTGGTTTACTCGTGTGGTTATAGATGTGGGAAATCAGCACGAGTTCAGGTTTTAAGTGTTTAGGATACACTATGTGTCCTGCGCCCCTTTCATTTTGTAATGACCCATTGTAACAGTTGGGGCACTGGTCAAGAGATAATCTGCCCAAGGTCACATAAGGACTGGATGATGGAGTGACACTTGAGCCCACACTGGCCACTTCCCAAAAACCCAGCGTGTCGGACAGGAAGCTCATCCCCGGCACCCACCTGTCCCCATCCCTCAGGGCCTTCATCTGCTTCCCAATGAGGCATGCGAACAGAGGACCTGTCCGGGCCCTTGGCAGGAGGTTTTCAACCAAGCCGCCCAGCCACACGTCGATATTGTCTGGATGCTTGTACAAGTCCATTATCTTGTTGACCACGCTCCTGTTGGCGATGGCCCTGCTCAGGTCAGCTGGGGTGTCCAGCCGTGGCAGGCCACAGAACTCTCTCCATTCATTGTAGCCTGCTCGAGGGAAAGCACAGAGCCATGTTCTCAGAGCCCAAGTCCTCACCAGCCTACCCACCAGTGCTGCCTGTCACCCACAGAAAACCAGGATTGCAGCAATGTGGGGCCCTGCCCACCATCCTCAGCTGCAGAGGGACCATGGCACTGTCCAGGTCACTATGCCCTGCAGAGTTCAACAGGCTAGATTATTTCAGCACAGACTTGGGGCTTGATGAAGAGTGGGCTCGTGGTGGGAGACCTCTCTCCATCCCGTCATCCCCCATCTCCCCAGCCCCCTGTTGCTTGAGGAAATCTTCTTGGCATTGCAGACTGAGTCTGGCTCTAGCCCATTGGCCTCTGTCCCCTTCTGTCCTCCATCCTTCAGATGACCAGTGCCCTAAGCTGTGCCTCCCTCAGTCCTCTATCTGTGCTCTGGCTTCACTGGGCTTTGGTCTTTGCTGGACACATTTCCTGCTTTTCCTGTGTCCTCTCTATGACTGCCTTTGGTCCCCTCCTCCTCCTGCTAGTTCAGCTTCTGCTTTCCAGGAGGCCCCCTCCCCCTGATGGTGAATGGTGAACGATTGCACCCTCTGCCTCCTCGCTCCATGATGGACCCACAGAGCATGCACCATGCTTCCTTGTTCTCTTTGCTCATCCACTCTGCCTCTGCATTCCTCCCACTGTCTCCAAAACCACAGGCACTCAACAGAGCATTGCATAAGTGAACACAAAGAATACATGGAGACCAGCTAAGTCCCCTGTGGGGCATTCAAGGGACAGAAAATGGGGAGACTTGTGGAGAAGCTCAGGTTTAGTTGAAGAGATCCTGCACCTTCCAGGTAGTCTGGGGGATGCTTAAGTGACAAAAGGCGAGCTGAGACAGGGCTGGCGACTTCCAGACACTGGGAACAACTCAAAGGCAGGCAGATCCGAGGAAACAATAGACAAACGGAAGGAAAATAATTACTGAGGTTTACGAAAACTGCTGTTGATGGTGGTGAGCTGGTCTTTCAAGATGGCAGCTCCAAGATCCAGATACGAGTGTGTGTATTGATGCAGGTGCGTGTGCACCCAGTGCAGGTGTGTGTGCACCCAGTGCAGGTATACTAGGTTTCCTGGCATTGGTTGGAGCCATAGCTATGGGGCAACTGTGTCTGTGAAGGTCATCCTGACTTCCCCCTCCCCAGAGGCTTCTCTGCCTCAACACCTGTCATATGCAGATGGCCATCACATCTGGTGACTCATAGGAAGTCCACTCTTAGTTTTCTAGTTCCAGATGGGCCACCCTACCCTGCTCTCTTAAGAGCCACCTGGCAGGATGATGACCACCCTCCCTCCTCCTGTGTCCCCATCGGGACCCCTCATGGCATGTCATCTGTATCACATGGTGTACTGTAGGCCAATCCCCAATTCTCATGACCCAGAAACAAATAAAACAGAAGCCCTAAACAAGATTTGTACAAACATGTATAGTCCCGCCACTCGCACAGGGCTTGGGGAACATGGGAGTTACGTCATTAAATATTTATTGGAAGAACCATTTATTTGCAAGATAATTGAAACCCAAATAGTGAACTAGTTTCTTTTTAAATTAGGGGGAGGGATTTCTGTAGCACCTCTAAATTATGTTAAGCACAGTAAATGATAAAATGTTTCAGTAGCTGTGGGAGATTGATGCTTTAATTTTTACACGGGCAAAATAAGTTGGACATGTATTTTTCTTGCTTTTCTAAGAGGAAATGTATGGATGTGCAGAAAATGTGCAGTGTCTGGAATGTATCAAGAAGGCAAAATGTAAGTGAGATCAGAGCTCACGGGACACAGCCAGGACCATAAAACACAAATTTCAGAGGTGCTGGCCTTTGTGAGGTAGTGGAGGAAGAGGAGTGGAAAAGTTTGTGGGAAAGGCTGGGGGTTTTACACTCTGCAAAGCTTTCAGGGCAGAGAGGTCACCAGGCCAGCTTTGTAGCAAGCACTCCTAGCCAGCTGAGCTCAGTTAGCCTCAGATTTGGCTAGGCAGGTCTCGTTACAGTTCACTGCACTGTGGTCTTCTTTCTTGTTGCATCCAAATTTTGACCTTACTGAAACAGAACTGGCGAAGCTGCCTACACTCGCCGTGCCTCAGTCTCATCCAGTAAAAAGCAAGTTGGGGATGAACTAGAGTTAAAAATTTCTTGCTAGAGCCAGGCAGGGTGTGCACACCTCCTGTAATCTTGGGTACTTGGAAGGTGAAGTTAGAGGGTTATGAGCTACATAGTGACATCCTGTCTCAACCCCTAACCCCCCCACCCCCCAAAAAAGAAAAAAGCCTTATTTAGAAGCCAGCAAGAGATTTGTGGGTAGATTTCACTTTAAATCCATCCTTCAAGGGATAGGTTGCTAATCCTAATCTGACCAGTGACATAGTACACACTGTGTTCCCTCTAGGAAGCTCCCCTGACCTGGTAGGCCATGGTCCCGGCCCCGCTGCAGGTTCAGTGATGCCAGGTCCAAGGTGCCCGAGTTGGACAGCACGAAGAGCCGCTCGGTCAGGTCCTCGTTCATCAACTGCTCCTGCACCTGCAGCTTGGCTGGCCTGGCTAGGAGGCCTCTGACCACTGGGTCCACACCACCTAGAAAACAGCAGGCAGAGTCAGAGCTCCCTAAGTTTGGAGAAACAGAAGCATTTTCGAATCCCAGAGCACGCTCATTCCTGGCAAGTATCTTTGTGTACCCTCATGAGTCATTTTATGTGATACCAGTTTTCAAGATTTCCTCAGGACACTAGCACCTGGCTGGTGCTGACCAAGCCATGAGCTCACGTGGAACCTTCAGAATCAAGGGACTTGGGACGGGGCCTCAGTACTAAAGTGATTCTGTTTTGCTTTCCTTTACAAACAAAGGAAGTGATTGCTCCACTCTGAGGTCTTACACAGTAAGAAGACATGGCTTGGCTCAGGGAGCTGTCAGGTCCTCAGAGACCTCACTTGTCATCTGTCAAGGCCTGGGGTCATGCTCACAGGAGCCCCTGACACAGACAGACCAGCCACCTGCTGCCTGCGACACTGAATCCACAGTTACATCAGAAGAGCATGTTATGGGCCTCCTGGTGCCCCCAAAGAACAAGGAAGAGTTCGCAATGTGCTTTGGGCTGGGGGTGGGACTAGGACACCCCTGGGCCTCTCCACAGTCTTTCATGGAAGAAGATCAGGGGACAGTGGAGCATGTTGTTAGCAACCGTCTTCCCTATCCTCTACCGACTTTCAGACAGATTAGAACCTTCCAGACAGACAGGAAGAACTGGGCAGGGGGGAGGGGCTGGGGAGAAAAAACAGGGAATTAAATGGCTTTCTTCTGAACACCAGCATCCTCAGGCTCCCGTGTTGATCTGAGCTAGAGAACAGATACAATTCATAGTGATAAACAAGTAGATTCTACTTTCGCAATTCTGTAAGTGGGAGAGCCCACTTATACCTGGGGTAGTTTTTCCTGAGTTCCAAAGAGCTTCAGAAATATGAGAGAAGGAATTTCTGATGAACCTATTAAAAAGCTTTGAAAGAATTTATTCCCCCCTAAACGCTGGCAGCTTGGACAGCTTCAGCCAGACAAACCAACAGGGCAGTTGAAGGCGCTTGTTGGGACCATCTGGACCGGTGTCACAGCAGCACCAGTGCGAGGGAGGCACCTTCCTGGATGAGCCTCCAGGGGCTGAAGAAGCCATCATGCAGCTGCAGCCTGGGGAGCCCAGCATGGTCCTGGAAGTCTGCGTCCAGCCGCCTCACCAGCGGGTGGACCGTGGCATGGCCGAAGCGGAAGGCGGCCGTAGAGAAGACGTTGGACACCGTAGGATTCACTGTGCTGTCATAACCCTCATAGGGCCCCACATACTGTCCGAAGGCCTCGGGGCCCAGGATCCTGGGAACATAGTCCCTCATGGTGATGATCTGTGTAGAGAAGAAGGCAGGTGAGGCTGAGCTGGGAAGGTCTGTGGCAAAGCCCAGGCCAGAGAAGGGTTAGGGCCAGAGGTCCAGGGAAGGCCTTTCCTGAACGTCCCTGGGCCTGTGCATCCCAGGTGCCCTCCAAGCGAGGGCTCAGCCCTCAGGAGCACCACTAAGCTAAGTCAGTCCAAGTCTCAGCCTCAGCTGCCTTAAATAGGGCACATCAGTGTTGTCCCTTGGGCAAATACCCCAAGGGTGGGCCTTGGGCAGGGTGGGCCTAGGCATGGAGGGTTACACAGAACTTGGCTCTGTCAATGTGTGACTGGCAGAGGACTGCCTGTCCTTCAAATGCAAAAACATTCCTGTTTAAACCACCTTCCTCCCGTCAACTCCCACGCACAAGCCATCAACCATACACACAAAGCATCAATCAGAAACCTCATCCCTTCAAGGGTCTTGGCCCCAGAGGATTTAGAGGAAGCTGAATTCTCACCCCATCCCAATATTCTTAGCTGTGTGGCTCTGAGAGCGTGTTAACCTCTCTGAGCCTCTGCTTTCTTGAAGAGTTGTTATGAGAGCAAGAAATGTCCCTGGCTCTCTGGTACAGGGACACAGTAGTGTCCTGTACACATACACTATGTAACAGATGTACATAGAGGAACAGGTGCATTTAGTGCCTCCCTGAGGTAAAGGAAATGGTGAACAAGTCAAGGGTTGAGTGTTAGCTGCATGGCTTATGAGCTAAAATCCAAGCAGGGACCAGGACTGCAGGATTTTCTTCTTTTCCTTAGAGAATTTTCTCCAGCACCTCACATCAGCAGAACTGCAGTGATGGTCAGTGGCGGTCAGTGGGGGCTCTGTGGAGGGTGTGTGGATTTCATAGCACTGACAATCTTCCTAACTTTTGTCCCACCCCATGATAGTGTATCACTGTGCCTGCAGCAAGAGTGGAGACAGGCGTTGGGGCCCAGGTGTGTCCCCCGTGACAGGTAGGACAGTGAGATGGCATTTGACCAGGACTCTGGGAACAGAGTTTTCCTCCCCTGCAGCAAAGGCTCACATCCAGTCCTCAAAAAGGTTGTGCTGCTGTTTTCATGGTCAGTTGGATAGCTACCTGCAGAGCGGCTGCTTGTGAGCCCCTCACACATGCCTGGTCAGCGAGCTGCAGGCCCAGGGCCCACAGCCCAGCGTAGCTTCCTTTTCCAGAAAACAGTGAGGCTCATTCCAGAATAGATGCCTGGTGGGCCACACTGCCCTGCTCCTTGGCTTATGGCACTGTCACAGGATCTTTGATTTTACTTCTTGACTAGAGGTCTCAGGAGAGTTATACCAAGGGCTCTGTTTTGAGTTTTACAGCATTTCTTTAAGCTATAAAAATCATTGCCAAATTGCTTGGTGTTTTAGAAGATTATTTTGGTTAATAAACTGCATCCAAATGCAGTGAGAACCTGTAGGATGACCACCCCAGAGGAACTGTCTTGTAGTTTAGCCTATTGGTTTAGGAAAGCAAGCAAGCTATTTAAAAAATAGCAAAAACAATTTTTATGTGTAATACCTTCCTTCCAAATGATGAAATGTGTTTTCTATACAAAGAATTCGGTACCATAAGGGAGACTGAGGTGAAGTGTATGCTTTTTGGCTTCTATCTCCGGCTGCAGGACCTTGTCTTGTCCACAGTGACGTCCTGTCCCTTTGAGACCTGGGTGTGTTGGGAGGAGCCACATCTGCACACTGGAGTCTCAGCCTGGTGCCACTTGTGGGTCAGGGTGAAGCACTGTGTTGTAAGTCCACTGGCCAGAGAACAGTTATGACTTCCAAATGCAGACCAGCCTCTCCAGCTCAGACGTAAGCTAGATGAAGTGTTTGGAGCAAAAGTTCGCCCTGGAGGGCCTCTCCTGACAGCACAAGTGGTGTCCTCCCATTAACTTCCTCTTTGGTTTCTTCTCACAGTAGAAAGGGCATGGCCAGCCTTTGCAGCCCAAGGGTGGGAGACAAGTTTAAATTCCAGCGCACTGCTTCTGCTTCAGCCCCAAGTCCCCAGAGCTGGCCCTTGAACACAGCAAACCTGCACCCTTTACCTGTCTGAGTTTCTCTTCTCTCACACTTTCTCCTGCTGTGATTTGAAGTCAGTGATGAAGCTCAGATACCCAGGACCTTCCCTGGCAACAGTGGGGCTGGACAGAAGCACCACGGGCTCTGACAATGGGACCTGAAGACCTCAATCTTGCAGGAGGCTCTTTGGGAGTTCATCTCATTCTTCAGGAAACACTGTGGTATCCCCTTGCCTGGGAGTGTTGGGGGACTGTGAGCCTGGACAGAATTCATGCGGTCAGACCTGGGTGGTTTGTGATCAACTCCTATGTCCAGCCCCACCTCTGAAAGGTGGGGTGAAGGTCTCCTTCATCTCTGGGTGAGTGAAATTCTGCCTCTGCCCACCCAACCTCCTGGCTCCTGCAGGTTCTTGCTGAGACTCAACCTGCCACACAGGAGGCCTTGTCTCAGCTGGCTTTCGTGACCTGGGCACAGGAAGGACAGACAAGTCTGTGCTTTAGGAACAATGAGAGTGGAGGGGAAGGGAGCCAGGACCACAGCCCAGGGAGAGGTGAGGAGAGACCTGGAGAGTCTACTGTGACCAACGTGGAGCCACAGAAGGAGCAAAATGCCCCGCCAGGCTGAACCTTCTGACACAGCTTCTCCTCAGTATCGTCACACTGCTCTGTCCAGGAAAGGACATGGGATTTCCTCTGAATGCCATGTCTAGGTAGCACAATCCCGCTTTAAGGTGCCTCAGAGATAGGACCAGAGATTGCTGAGGTCGTCCCAGAAGGAGGGGCTCAGGCACCGCCTGGTACTGACCAGGATACCACCCTCAGGTGGGTCCAGTCTTCGGGGTTCTGCTGGCAGCTCTGGAACCTGGGCTACACCCGGCCTTGGTTGGCCTTCAGGGCTTGGTATTCTCTGTAAAGGTAGCCCAGGAGGGCCTTGGGCTCCATAGCTATCTCTGAAGAACAGTGACCATCAGATTCTGTCCATGGACACTGGAGGTGCCAGGTGAGGGACCTGGCCAGCGAGGGCCCAGATGGAGCAGTGAAAGCACCACACAGACAATGTTTCTTGACTCTCCAGCAGGGTTCATGGACCTGGAGGCCGAGGGCTCTCCAGCTGGTCCGCCCACCTGCCTGCCTCAGGAGACAGTGCCAGTGCCAGGTCCTGGCAGCAGGGGAACCTGAGGCAGATGCTCCCAAGAGACCAGCAGAAGCACACGTCCCAAGGTGGGGAGAACTCAATGTCTCTAGGGAAAAAATCAGAGGAGCCCAGGTCACCATTGGGCTGGCCTTGACAATCCAGGGGGTGTGGATGGTCAGTGAGTGGGGGGTGTCCTCCACTAGGCTTCCTGCCTCTTGCTGATGACCATCAGCTGGCCAGCCTGGCTATGCACATAGAGCTACTTCTTCTCTTCATGACCTCGAGCTTTTCAGGAGAGGGATGCAGATCGCAGCTCAAGTGTGAACAAACACTGCTCTTGAGTGGGCAGCAGACAGGAGTCCTGGATCTCTAACTCGTTCACAAATTCAACAGACACTTGGGGGACACAAACTTTGTGCCAGGCACGCTCTAAGTGCCGGGAGAAAAGAATGAAAGGAGCAAAATCTCTGTTGCCGTGGTGCTCACCTTCAGGGAAAGGGTCGTGGATGAAAGACAAAGCCAAAGAAAGCCCACAGTTGGCAGGGTGATGACCAAGGAAAGAGAATAATGACCGGGCGTGGCCTCCCTGGGAAAGGGGCAGGAGGCCGGCTTCCCGGGAGCTGCAGCCCCTAGCTAAGGCCAGCTGGCTCCATGTGCACAGAGCAGAAGGTCTGGCCAGCTGCTTGGAAGCCAATGGGCTACAGGATTCCTGGTGATGTCACACTGCAATCATCCAAGTTGCTGTAATTCTCCCCTCGCAAATTCTCATATGGTTCCTACTTTCAAAATTTTAATAATCGTATCTGTTTACATCTGCCTGTCAAGCAAGGCTGGAACTGTCCAGTTTTGCAGTTTGCAACACTAATCTCCAGTGTTTATCTTAAGCATTAATTTTGGACTTTCGTGTATCTAGCTCTTACTTTCTCTTCTAACTTCAGCACCGCACAGACACACGTATACCCAGATACACAGAGACACACACACAGACATATACCCAACCTGCACACAGAGACAACACACAAACACAGGCGCACACACAGATATCCAGCATACACTCAGACATACAGAAATACACAGACAGGAGACACGGGTGCACACACAGACGCATATATACAGACACACACAGAGACATACACACAATGCACACATAGATAGAGACAACACACAAACACAGACACACAGTGCACACACAGATATCCAGCACACAGAAATACACAAACAGCACAACACACACAGACACAGGCACACACAGACATACAGCACACACGCCAACTCAGCCAGGGTTGACACGCATTGCCGTGAGCACACAGGCCTTAGGATGTTGAGTTACTTCTGCCTGGTTGGTAAAGACGTTCCCATGCCTGGTGCTGTCCACATGTCCTCAGGGTGTTCATGTCCCCCTTACTTCCACCCTCCCCAGGGCTGATGCCTGCGGTGAGGATGACGCCAGAGCCTACAGCTCACTTTCCTTCTTTGAGAGTTGGGATTGATGTCACCTTCCTCACTGGCCCTGAGAGACAGGGATACTAAACAGTCTTTATGAGAACCCACTGAGACTGTTAAGTCAGTCACTGGGTTCTACAGGTAAATTGTCTCCAGAATCGCACACTGGGATCTCCAAGATTCTCTGATTGAATATTAAAAAGGATCCTACAATGAGGAGTGAAAATGGACTCGGCTTAATTTGGTAATTCAGAAATCTCACCCAGAATCACCAGGCTCTAAATACTAGAAGGAGATCCACCAATGCCACCCCACAAGGCTGCTTTTAGGACCACTGAGGTGAAACCTGTCACACACTTAGCCAGCTGCAGGCACAGGGCAGCACGGGATGACCACACTTGTGACTCTGCCACAGCTGTGTGTGTGTGCATGTATGGGGGGGAGGGGGCCGGTCACCCCAGGGATGCCCAGCTGGGACAAAAGAGCCCAAGAGGCTTCCGTCCTCCAGCACCCAGAGTCAGGCGCGGGGAGAGCCCTGGGGGGACCCCACGCTGACTGCGTCTGAGCCCAGTGGGGAACTCCGTGGCCGAGATCCCCGGGACTGCAGGGAGGCCGCGGCCGCCCGCGAGGCGCGCACCTGGTGCAGGGCGCCCACCAGCTTGCGCGCCTCCTGGTAGACGTTGTCCGCGCTCCAGTGCGCGTTGAGGGCCTTGAGCGCGGCGGCCAGGCGGTTGTGCTCGCGCAGCCACAGCGTGTGCACGGCCGCCAGGGCGGGGACCTCGCTGGCGCGGCCGTCGCCGGCCAGGAAGCAGGGCGCGCGCGGGGCTCCGGGCGGGGGCGCGCTGGGGGCGGGCGGGGGCGCGCAGGCGGCGGGCGCGCGCGGCGGCCCGAAGGGCAGGAGGGCGCGGCCGGCGTCGCGATGGCGCGCGTTGACCCGCAGCTGCCCCGCCGCGCTGGTCCAGTTGCGCAGCAGCTTCTCGGCGGCCGCGGAGCTGCCGTACACGGTGGACGCGTCCAGGAAGGAGGTCAGGCTGTTCATCTGCTGCCGGGAGTTGGCGGCCGACAGGTTCCCGAGGAGCGCGCCCTGGTCCCCGGTGCCGCAGGCGGCGGACGAGCGGTAGAAGGGCAGGCACGCGGCGCCCGCCGTCGGCCACGAGTTCGCGGGGAGCTGCGGCAGACAGGAGACTGGGGTCACCTCCGGCCCAGAGGCGTTGGGGCCGGGCTCCGGGGCTCACGGCTGTAATGCCTGGGAGTCCGAGATCGGGAGGATCGAGGTTCGAGGCCAGCCCAGGGAAATAGACCGTGAGACCCCCGCCTCATCTCCAAAATAACCAGAGCAAAACGAACTGGAGCTGTGGCTCAAGTGGTAGAGTGCCTGCACCTGCTTTGCACGCGTGAAGGCCTCAGTTGAAACCCCAGTCCCATCAAAACGAAACAAAACAAAATAAAAACATCGGAACCTCTGGGCAGGGAGCCCTGGCCGTCCCCAGCCCAGGCACAAGCACCTCCTGCAGCTCAGACCTTGTGCATGGTCCTGCGCTTTTAGGGACCTGTCAGGACACTCATGCAATCCTATTTCCAGCTGGCCTCTTCTCCACCACAGTGACAGGGCCAGTTGGGAGTGTTGCAGGTATCACCACCCAGGAGGCGCCTATGGGCCCTCCTGGCCTCAGTTTCCTGCCTGTTTGGTGGAGACCTTATACACATTCTGCCCATTTTCAGGCCAGCTGTGAAGCCAGACCAGGTGCTGGCTGTAACCCCTCTCCCTGAGCAGGAGCACAGGCTTCCTTCCCATGAGTGTGGCAGGGGCAGGACCCACCCTGCACTGGGGTGGAGTCACCTCCCTCCACTCCTGTCCTGGGAATGGCAGGGTGATCTTTGGTGTGTAGTATGGGTCTGAGACACAGAAGTGAGAGAACTGGCCTGAAGTCACAGGAGTGAAGGCTGGACAGGCTCCAAGAGAAAAGCCAGTGCTAACTGCAAATAAGTGACAGTCCCCCTAGGGACAATCATGGAGTGGCACCTGAGGAATAAACAGGACAGGGGACACAGGCCATGCTGGGTGCGGCAGGTGGCCCCAGAGAGACTACATCTGCAGTGCTAGGGAGAAAGCGAGCAGAGCTGCGGGCTCTGGCAACACCCGAACACCAGGGAGCACACAGTGGAAGAGGGGCTCCCCCCACCCCCAGCAAATGCACTTGTGCATCAGAGTCTGGGAGTTCCTGAGCTGCCAAAGGAGCAGAAGGTACCCAGTGAGGGCAGCAGGGAGCCAGCGAACTGCCTGATGCCTTATGAACTAAAATACTGCAGAGAGCACAAGAAACCAGAAGAACCCTGCCAAGGAGACTTCAGATGGCCCAAGCCCAGCTCCCATGAGTGGAAAAGACACAGGAACGAAGCTTAAAGTGAGATTAACAACAGAAATACAAACAAGCAATGAGCAGTGGAAAATTTTCCCAATTTATTGGCTTGTTTTCCTGGATGTGAAGAATTACCATTGATTTAAGGACAAATTAATCTCTCTAGCAATCAAGGAAAGATCAAGCCCAAGCACACCAGCACCTCCCTCACAGGAAAATCCAGATTTCACGTGGCTCTCACTCCAACAGCACTGCAAAAGAACTAAGAAAGTATCTTAAGAATTTAAATAACAGAGAAATAAACCAAACATAAATAAGGAAGTTGCATGGACAAACAGGAGTTAAACTAGTTAAACTTAGAAAAAAAAGACATGGTGGAAAGGAAAAAGGAATACAGGTCTCACAAACCCAGTGGAGGAGAAACAGAAAGGGCACAAAATAAGACCCAGTTTGGAAGAGGATGAGGTGGGAATTGGAGAGAGCCAGGACCCCAGGTGACAGCCGTGTGTGCTCTCATGATTGTGTATTTAAAAAGGAACAGTAGCAAGTGATTGGCTCCTTGACAGTGCAGAAATAACCAAAACTGTACCAAGAAGAAATGAAAAATTCAAATTGACAATGACCACTGGAGAGCCTGGCAAGGTGACAGAAGCCCTATCCTGCTAAGGCACAGGGTCAGGTGGCATTTTATAACTAGCTTCCATCAAGTCCCTAAAGGACAGACAAATCCAATGCACTAAGACTGTTTGAGCACAACACAAAATGGAAAGTGCCCCAATGCATTCCACAGAGTCAGCAAAAGTGTAATATTAGCCCTGATAGAAATAGTGCAAGGGCAGAGCACTCAGATCAATAACCCTGTAAATAAAAGTCAAATAGGGCAGTGAATCCGAACAGCAATGTGCCATGGTGACATAGGATTCATTCCAAGAATGGCTCAATGTTAGAGAGTAGAATCTGTTTCCAGGACAACAGCAAATCAAAGGACAGCTGAGTGTGGTGGTGCATGCTAAAATCCCAGCACTAGAGATGGAGGAGGATGGTGACTTCGAGGCCAGCCTGGGATGCTTTAAGGAGATCTCAAAACATTTAAATCTAATATAAATATAAATTCCTGTTATTAAAATAGAGCAAAGTGAAATCACTTCAGTGTGTTCACTGTCTTGAGTGCTGTGAACAAAGTGTTTTCACTGAAATTTAAGAACTGGACCTGGAACCTATTCTCACCACTTGAGCACTGCTGAGAAATTTAATTTTAATAATCCAGTTAGGCCAAAGTCCAGGAAGTAAAACTGAGTTAGTAAAAATGCTAGAAGAAAGTAAGATTAAAAATATGATGGGGTGATCTTGTTCACTCAGATATCATATGCCCAGAACAGCTAAGAGTTCTAGAAAAATCAGTAACTTTCCTGAAAGAAATTATCTTCATTCCAGGGATAAGTACAAAGTTCCTTTTCTTTATCGTCCTTTTTTCTTTTTAATGAAGTGCCCAGATGACAAGGAGACAAAAATTCTTTCCATAAAGAACAGAAAAACTACCATAATCACATGTATAAATGTAACCAGAAACCCATATGAAATGCAAGAAGAAAATAATAAAACATCATTAAGAATTTCAAAGAAAATTTGATAAAAGTTCACCTCTCTGTAAATGAATGCACAAATTTAATGTGACTCTGGTTACACTCATAAGAGTACTTTTGCATTTTGAAATGGGTAGATTACCCTCAAAGTTCACATGAAGAAATAACTCCAGATCCCACTCACTCTTTCATCAGCTGTGCTAAGGGCCATCTACTGACGTCAGCGCAGAGCTGCCCAGGACATGGTCAGTCTGTCCGAACCTTGGTGGAGACCTGGACCAGAGGCCAGGTCTTCTGATGCAGAATCACGTAGATTGCTGGGAGGCAGAACCAGCTGGCTGTGGTGTGGACAAGCCCGTCTCAGTCCACACCTCAGTGGGGAAAGAAAACCCACACTGCTTTTTTGAGGGCATTGCTTTTACGTTTTGCAACCAATGAATCTCTGCACCAAGACCGAGTCCAGACACTCAACCCAGAAACAGACCTGGCCTATGGGAATTAAACCTGATTCCTGGTGAGAGCCACTGTACCACTGATGGAAATGGACAAAAACATTCGTAAAGAGAAAGAAAACCAATTAAAATCCACAAGAAGAGTCAAATTATAGAAAGATGGACAAAGGGTATGAATGAGGAAATTCACAGAACAAATAAATGCACGTTATCCAAAACAGGGAAAATTTACAGTTCAGTAATATTCACTGAAAGCAAATGAAGTTGGATGAAATATTGCTTTATAACCACCAAACCAGCAGGAAACAATCAGTGATGTGTACGGCTAGCGTGGAGGGGAGTTTCTTCTCAGTCATGGCTGTGAAGTGTCACAGGTCACCTTCTCTGGTAACTTTGGTTCTGGCTTTAAGCTGTGGATTAAGCTGTGCACACAGGGCAAATCAGATGCCTTCCTCCAGAGGATGCGAGCCCAGGGTTGTCACCTGGAGTACGACATGTCACCAGCCGTGAGCAAGAAGGACTTGGAGCTCCACTGGCCTGGAAGAATTGCCAGAGGCGCTACTTTACTGAGATGAAATTTCAAGATGCAGAAAATGTGCTTAGTAGAGTCGTGTCTGCAGTAACAGCATTCAAAAAGGAACACTGGGCTTGTGCCCGTGCGGGTCGCTGTCCGAGCTCTAAGGTCACATGAAGGATAGAGCCATTAGAAAATGTACTGCAGTCAGGTGATGTCTCTGAACTCTTCTCCCGCCTCATCAACTTCCTTCTTCGATCATCACCCCCTCACACCTTCATCACCCCCCACACCTGGAAAGTACACAACGCTGAGCTGGGTTCCCTGGCGGGGGGGATGAGTAGAGAACATTGGGGGGTGAGAGGGGAGGGGACGGAAGTGAAGCAAAAGAGGAGGAAGAGAGAGAAGAACGTGCTTTAGTGAGATTGATGCATTTAGATGTCAGCATACAATTACATAATACAAGAGACTTGAATTTGAGTTGAAACCTGTTAGGGCCAAACCAGTATCAATGTGAAGACCATGTATTAAAATTCGTGCTGTGACCAGAAGGGGATTCATAGGAAAATGAAGCTCCCCTCCCATGTAAAAACTCCAGAGCGATTGCAGCTGACGGGGTTAGCTTTCACTAAGAAGGTGAGAAATGTGAAGGAGACAGAAGGGGATAATATGGTGGGAAAGGGACACAAAAGACATGGCCCTCAATAGACCAAGTGGAACCAGAACCGAGTGCGTATCGGGAGACCCAACTCCCTACAGTTAACCAGGAGCAAGTTCCACGATGAGCACAAAGAGCCTGTCCCCAAGGCGGATCAGCCCAGTGTCACACATAGCCTTTCCAGCACTTCAGGAAACAGACAGACAGTCCAATATTTTTCTTCTTTTTTTTTTATGGGTCTGGGGTTTGAACTCAGGGCTTCATGATTGCAAAGCAGGTGCTCTACCAGTTGAGCCACACTTCCAGTCCTTTTTTTCCAGTTATTTTTTTAGAGGTGGAATCTCTTGAAGTATTTGCCTGACTGGCCTTGAACCACAATTCTCCCAATCTCAGTCTCCCAAGTAGCTAGGATTACAGGCATGAGTCGCTGGTGCCCAGCAGACAGTTCAGTGTTAAAGAAGTGACTCCTGAGTGCAGAAGTGGGTGACCCTGATCATTGCACGGTGCTGGCATATCTGTGCAATCCACAAAGAAAGTGCAGCAGAAGAAAGAAAACTGTAGCGCAGAATCATTTGTGAAGAGAGATTCAAAAGCCCTAAATAAAATGTCAAAACCTACATCACAACCAGGCCCATGGCAAGAGGTAAAGATGGCTCAATATTGGAAAATCTTTTGGCTGAATTTTCTGCAGTGACAGATGACAGGACGAAATCCTCCACTCCAGTGCAGCTTGGAGGCACTAGGCACAGCTCCAAGTCGCACATTTCATAAAAGTTCTTGGGAAATCACGGATGAAAGGTAAAGTCCTTATGTGACTGAAGCTGTCTAGCAGACGCCCGTGACCAACCCAACCTCAGAGAAAGAATCACACCCTCTGTGAGAAGGACACAGCCGAGTGCCGCCCTGCTGCCTTCTGACAGCTACAGCAGTGACCCGTGTGTCTGCAAGTGTGTGAGTGGGCAATGACATGTTTCAGTATTGGAAAGAAAGGGGAAAGTCCAAAATTATTCACAAAAAACCCAATATATTCAATATGTACAAAATACAGGGAACTGAGGTTAACACTTAGAATAACAAGACCTCAAAAAGCCAGCCAGGCTGAAGACCAACGATTTAAAGAATTTGTAGGTTTCCTGGTACTGGAGGAATGACCAGTTAAAAATAATAACTGAGTAGGGTCTCATTCACTCTAGCAGTAAAAATCCATTAAAATCTGTCAGAATATGTGCAAGACATTAACAGACTAAGCTATAAAACTTTAGGGAAGGATACAAAAGATTCGGTAAGTTGAAACATACCTGGCTGAAAGGGAAGGTTCAGTTTTGTTTGATGAACACAAAAGTCCAAAGTCACCCACTAGGAAGATTAATCCCGCTGGAAAAAACTACAAGATTTTTCAAAGAGCTCGACAAGCTGCTTCTAAAATCAACACAGAAGAGCAAATTGAGAATAAGCCTAGATGCTTAAGAAAAAACAGAAACGAGGACCCTGCCTTACCGATCACCAACATGTAATCTAAAGATCAGCAACGGGATGGACGCCAGTGGAGACAGAGGCCAAGCCCACTGCTATGGTTTGGGTGCTCAGTGTCCCCCAAAAGGCTCAGTGCTGAAGACTCGGTCCCAGAGGGTAGCACTATTGAGAGGTGAGTGGATCACAAGGATGCTGGCTTCATCCATGGATTAATCCATTTGTGATTTCATGCTGGATGAACTTTAGGAGGCGGGGCCTGGTTGAAGGAAGTGTCACGAGGGCATGACCTTGAAGGGTATATCTTGTTTCTTGTCCCTCACTCTCCGTCTGTCTCTACTTCCTGGCCGCAGGAGGGGAGCAGCTTTCCTCTGCCATGCCTTTCCACCATGATACTTCTGCCCCACCACAGACCCAAAAGCAAGGGAGCAGCTGACCATGGACTGAGACCTCTGAAACCAGGAGCCAGAATAAATCCTTCTTTCTTTAAGTTGTCTTTCTTGGATATTTTGTCACAGCAACAGAAAGTGAGTAACACAGTAACAGTCATGGCAGCTTAGTCTGTGATAAAGATAACACTGCAGTCAGCGTGAGAAATGGAATTTTTAGTAGTGATGCACATAGGAAAATAAGCAAGCTAGATGCGTACCTCACACTGCACATAAAAGTGTATTCTTAATAAAATAAAATCATATTAAAATTCCAATCTTTAAAAAATTTTAAAGGAAGTACAGAAAATACATTCCTAACCTCCAGTTAGGAAAGAGCTGCTTGATAGTCTGCTTTGCCTAGGGGAAAAATGATATCCCAAAGTTTAAAATTGATTTTATGCAAAATGGCACCATACGCAAAACTGAAAGGCAAGCAATTCTGCGTAATTAAAGACTGAGGTCTATGAATGGTTTCTCAGGCTCATGCCTCCGTGGAGGATTGCAGCTTGAGGCCAGCCAGCCCATCTCAACTGCCAAGTTAAGCTCGGCGTGACGGTACGTGATGTAATCCCAGCTATGAGGGAGGCCTAGGCAGAAGGATCTTAGGCCAAGCCCATTCCAGGCAAAAGTGCAAGATCCTGTCTGAAACCCAACCCCATCTAAAAATAACTGCAGCTCCTAGGTAGAGAGCCTATCTAGCAAGTGTGAGCCCCTGAGTCCAAACCCCAATGCTGTCAAGAGAAAATTGAGGTCTACAGTACCCGGATTTGTGTATATAATACAACACCCCCCCATACACTGCATAATGACTTTTATACCACCAATGACCCCCACATTTGACCTCGGCCCCACGAGATTACACCCTCTAGTGATATTGTAGCCATCTTCCTTTGTTAGAAACGCTATGATGTTTGCACAAGGGTGAAGTCATCTGAGGACCCTCTTCCCAGAACCTGTCCCTGTCATTACTGACGCAGGCTGTGTAGGATCACTGAAAAACTCAATGACGAGAAGGAGCAAGTGACACAGAGGCTTTGTCCACTGGAAGGTGAGATGTAAAGTAGGTTTTGCCCAGCTGATGCTTGCTCAGAAATAACCAGCTGGAAATTCTAATTTATGACCCATCACCATGGGGCAGTTTGCAAGAATCTATTGAAATTTAAACATGCACCCAACCCGTAGTCTTCTAATTCCTGTGCATAAGCAGGCCCAGGAATAATCCCAAACAACAGCCAACCACACCACAGCAGAAATTAATTCAGGGGAGGGAACTAAAATGAGTGTGAAAGGCAGCAAGGAATGCAGTTCACGGCAATTATGCATGAATTATGCGTATAATTAAAAACGTGTACATTTTAAAAGAGCGCAATTGCCATGCTATTAGGTGGGAAATATTACATCCTGCTTACAGAGTTCAACACCGTGGACTTGGGGCTCGAACCCAGCACCGTGCAGCTGGGGTCTCAGTCGCCTCTCTCAGCTGCCTGACTGAGTTGCTCTGCAGCGATTCTGGTTTGGAACCTCTCAGAGGTGAACAGGAACTGCACCTGGCAGACTCAGTGCCAGAGATATGGGCACTGCTGCCAGAAGAAACAGCCCCATCTCACAGATGAGATGTCTGGGATCCGGGCTTGCTGAGGACACCCAGGCAGGTGGCACACATAGCTGGGACTCCAGGATGCCTAGCAAGAGGCTTCCATGGGGCAGAGCCTCGCCTGAAGGCGTCCAGGGCGAGGTGAGACCCTGGCCAGCTTCAAAGCTGTCTTCTACAGAGCAGTAGCTCAGTACCTTTCTTGCTGGAAGGAGTGCAGTCAGCACGGTAGTGTTCACAGGGAGTAGGCCTGACATGTCCTCATCTCAGGCCTGCCCGCTACACCATCTAGCACTTCTGTCCCTAACGACTTGTCTACTGGGTGTGAGCGCGTCCACCAAGACTCAGGTTGGAATATGCTCTTTGCTTCGTTGTTACTGATGGCGTAACAACAAGAAATCCCCTCATCACTGGGGGAATGAGTTAAATGGGCTACAATGATAGAACCTAGTCATAGGACACATTTCTGTCCTATAATGACATGGAGCAATGTGTAAGAACTGTCACTCAGTGACCCTCACGGCTACTGAGCATGACACAGCGTGACCCAGCAGGTGTAAAGACCTCCACACACGTGTGGTCATTACACACACAGGTGCACAGGTAATGTCTGAGTGGACCAGGAGGGAACTCTCCACAGCTGGTCCCCGGGAACAGGACACAGAAGGAGACTTCATGTGTCATCTTGTGCTTTTCTGTTTGATTTTTTAAGCGGCACCAGTTAGTTTCATAATAAAAAGTGAAGCTTAGCGAAATTACCTGTATGGGGAAGCATGGGTTTTGGTTCTCACACGTCAGCAGGCAGTCGGCTCCCCCCGAGAAGGCGGTGGTGCTGGCGCTCTGTGGTGTGAGAGCAATGTCGTGATCGATGTACTGTCCCCACGCTGTCAGGAAGTCAGAATACTGGTCGTCTTCTGTCACCGCCTCGTTAGAAACTTGAATAATGTGCCTTGTCACCTCCCGCACCTGGGTGAGAACAGTTTGCTATGAGGAAGAGAAAGACCACATCTGGCTGAGATGAGACTTTGGGGTCCTGTACTCCTGGTGGGGTTCTTGTCCACAGGAGTGAGGTACCCAGGAAGGGCAGGGTGGGAAGGGCTGAGCTGGAAGACAGGTGCATCTGTACTCCGACACCTGCCGGTGATTTGGGTTGCTTTGGGGGCTGACAGGTACCTTCTAGAGCCTGAGTTTTCTCATCTGTAAGTGGTGTAAAATGACCAGCTTTCAGGGTTGTCATGGGGATTAGGTGAAGTTAGCATGGTGCACTCTGTAACTCAGAACCTGGAACTGCAGGGCTGACTCCAAGGCTATGAACCCTAGTGGAAGTGGCCTGGCTGACTCCCCCATGGTGTGGAATCAGCAACTCCCTTTTTGTTTCCAGTTCTTCCTTCTGAGTTGGGGTGTCTGTCACTGCTCTCTTATGCCTGTTGGGTCATTGCATTTGGGGAGCAGAAAACTGGTTTCCTTGTTTCACAGATCCAGATGGAGGGGAATTTTGTCCCCAGGTTGTCACACCCTCAACCTCCTCTACCTGATTTTGGCAGTTTTCAGTGGTGAGATTTGGATTTGATTTTGGATGTTGAATCAATGCTGCAATGGGATTTGGGGGGGTCTTTGGAGGGGTGAGTAGGGTTTATATATGGAATGGATGTGAAACTTGGGAGTCAGAGGGTAACTCTGAGAAAAAATAACACCACCTAAGATGTCTACTTAAGAATCCTGGAGCCTCCAGATGTGGGTATATCAGAGACCTTGAGAAGAAGAGGTTATCCTGGAATTGTGGGGAGTCCTATCTCATCACCTGGGTCCTTCAAATCTGTAGACTTCCTGACTATGCTGAGAGAGAGAGGACTTTGGAGGGAAGTCAGGAGAGAGACGCTATAACTGCTGGCTTTGAAGAAGGAGGCTGTGAGCCAAGGATTGTGGGCAGACTTTAGAAGTTGGATAGGATGGGACTGGAGTGGTAGAATGGGCTCAGAAGTAGAACACTTGCCTAGCATGTGCAAGGTCTTGGGTTTGAACTCCAGCACCACACACATACACACACACACACATCAGACAGGGTGAGGTGATGCATTCTCCCCTTAGAGCCCTGCAGGTACCTTGATTTCAGTCCAGGGAACCCACCTCAGACTTCTGACCTTCAGATCTGAGAATTATAACTTTGTGTTGTCTTGAGCCACTAAAACTGGAGTGAGCTGTTAGAGCAGGAGTAGGAAGTTAACACACTCCACACTTAAACATACTTGAGTCTGATGCTTCTAAATAATTATCTATCTGAGCAAATTTGGGTTTATAGAATCACAGTATCATAACGCCCAGAGTTCAAGAAATTTCAGCATTTATACTGTTCTGGTGTTGTGCACAAGATAGGCAGGATAGTCTCGCCCTATTTTCACAGACAGTGCACTTGAACTAAGAAGGCAAGTGTCTGGCGGGAAGTTAAGGGTCGACATGAGCCTGCCTGCTTCCCGGAGCTCTGAGCTTTTCAGTAAGGTTCAGCGGTTGCTCCCCTTGCTGGTCCTTGCCAGCTGCTGGGAACACTTGGTCCTCTCACTAAACAGCCACCTGGGAAAACTGCCTCCATCGGGTGCTCACCTCCATAGGAGAGTTTCGTGATGGTGTCAACACACAGCTGACCAGATTGGTCCCTGACTTCTGAGACGGTGGTGTCTGGAGGAGCCCAGTACCTGCTGTATCTGGGAATGTGGTATAAGCAACAAAGGCTGGGTCATTCAGTGATGTGAGCTGTCAAACTGGGGACAAAATGGCTCAAGTTTTGACCAAATGGCTCAGAAGGGTGAGTGTGAGTGTGTTTCACAAATAAACATACCTCTGGGAGGAAAATGGAGACCATGAAAGGAGTGAACTAATTAGTGGATGTACCTGGTCTTTCACCTTATGAATAAAAAAGTTTATTTGAAAATGAAGGGCTTACCAAGGGAAAAGAAGGCAGAATTAGATGAAAGAATTAGATGAATTAGAGAAGCGAGGCTTGGAAGCCTCACTTCCAAGCTTTACACCTTAGGACCCTGACCTTAGAGGGAGGTTGGGGCCAGAAGGGGCTGTGTGCAGCCACAGGCAGAGTAAGCAAGACCTCAGAGGAAGGTCAGATTCCTCCAAGCTTATGGGGTTGACACTATGGCGAACTAACTCCCATCCCAGTGAGGCGGTGACCTGAGTACCAACCGGGGGCAGTGGAAACCCATTGTACAAGAAGGTGGGGTTCCAGCCTCTGGGCTGACTGAAGCCATCTTCGTAGACTGGAGGGAGCCATCTGGCCAGGGCTGTATTGGAGGCTCCCCACCTAGGATGGTCCCTGTGGAAACAAACATGGGCATGTTTGAGATGGAGGGAAAGAGAGAAAGGGGAGTCCAGCCATGCTTAAGGAGGAGGCATGGGGACCGTGCATCAAGACCCTGGCGACTCCATCCAGGACTCGTGGCTAATACTCCCATGGTTTCCTTGGGGTTTACAGACAGGTTTGGTCTGGAGATAATGGGTTTCCAGTAAGCCTAGTCACACCTCCAGGTGACCCTTCCACTGCCCTTTCCTAATGGCTTCTCTCAGGCTCCTCTTTCCAAACTAGACCCTCATCCTTCCAGAAAGCACCAGGGCCCTTCCCAGAGGACAGACACTTCAGCCACTCAAAACAAAGAGATGACCAACCTACCCAGGGCTTCGCTTCAGCTGGAAATAGGGTGCTTTGGAGCTTACTGACATGTTCTGACTTAAGAAGGGAGAGGTTTGCCAAGAGAACATACATTGATGCATCTATTTGGATTGAAAATAAAGTTAGGCCATTTTGAGAGATGAATGATTTGACAATAAGAATAAACTCAGCCAGTAAGAGACTCAAAAGCGATGTGTTCCATAAGTAGACTGACTTCAGTTTCATACTATGGGTCAAAATATATTTTGGCCATCAGGTGTGGTGGCTCATCCGTATAATCCCAGCTACTTTAGTGGCGGAGGCAGGAGGACTGATATTACAAGGCCAGCCAGGGCAACTAAGCTCTGTCTCAAGGACAAAAATACAAACAAAAGGGCTGGGAGCGTGGCTCAAGCCCTTTCCTAGCATATGCGAGGCCATGGGCTCAGTCCTCAGCACCACAAAAAGAGATTTGAAATGCATGCCAAGGGCTGGAGGCAGAGCTCACGTGGTAGAGTGCCTGCATCACAAGCCTGGAGCCCTGAGTTCAAACCATCCCAGTGCCTCCAAAAAGACAAAAACAGTTGCTACTTAAGTGCCTGCCAAGACCAAGGTTGTGAGTAATCAGAGTCCAACTTCTCAGGCCACTGCTGAGTAGCGTGTGAGGTGAGAAGCGCTTCTAAGCCCAAGGGAGGTAGCTGTGATTAAGAGTCATTTGATACCACTTAGAGCATCTTCCAGAATGAGAACATGAAACGTCCACGATGATTACTGATTCCTGAGAAAAGAAGGTGCTTGCAATTTTTGTTAAAAATATTTGAAGAGCCACCCTTATTTGTTTGTTAGCAGATAGATCAATAAGGGGCTTTAACGACAGCTCATTAAATCCATTTTCTTAGGAATTTGAGGACAGGTCCCATTTCTATAACAAACTTCTGTTCCCAGCCCCAAGTTCTCCTGCAAAAGGCTCCTTAGCACCTCTCTCTTCAGAAGTGATGGTGAGCACGGGGTCACTGCTGTGCTCCCCTCTCCACCAGGAAGGGGGGCGCACATGATTCAAGACCAAGGTGGGGGACTTCTGAGAGTGACAGAAGCACCATCAGTTGCTAGTGATTCTTCTGGAGGAGCAGGCGTTTGGGGCTGGTGATGTTCAGAGGACTTGGAAATACAAACACTCAAAGACTGGTTGCACCTTCTCTACAGGACACATCTTCTGCAAGTGCAGCTGATGGAGACCCTCAGCAGAGGAGGGAAAGGAGTAATGAGCTGCTAAGAACAGCTGTAATGTGGGGCCCCGGTCCATGCAGGTGGAGGAGGCAGATTGAGGCCCTGGTCTGCGCAGGTCTCCCCTGAGGATGCTGGTGGCTCCTGACAGCAGGAGGAGGGGCTCCGCTGGTCATATGGCTGCCGCTTCACTGGGAAGCTTGAGAACATTGCAGCAGCAGGCCGTGATGTTGGAGGTCTGGTTACTTCACAGTGTCTGCGGGCCCAGTAAGTGCAGAATAGCTCAATCATCAATACTTCATTGATCTCCAGTCCACCGAGCAGCACAATTTGCAAATTGTGCTTAATTAGCTGCAGTAAGTCAGCCACCATCGAGGACTGGTGTGCACTAAATAGCGTTCGAGGTCGTTATGGTGGCTCTTTACCGGAATTTCTATAAACTGAAAACACAGGGAGGGGTATTCCACTCAATTAAAAATAATGAAACATTAATTCAACTGCTTAGCAATGACTTTTTTTTTTTTTGCTGATTGACCTTGGTATTTCAGTTCACTTGGATGTCACAAGAGCCCAAGGTCACTCAGATGGTATTGGTGACACCCAGCCATGTGTCATTGAACCTGTGCAGAACCCCAGATGGATGGTGCTGATGTCCAGGCTGCCTGGGTCCCTCTGGTCGGGTTGTCCAGACCCTCCACCTCTGCTTGTGCTGACAGGGATCCCTGAGGGCTTGCTGGAATCCTTCCTGCCCTGCACTGTTTGATTTGCACTGATGGCAGCCCAGCACAGTGACCACAGAGCCAACAGCAGCAGCGGACAGAAGCATTTCTGGGCATTTTATAGGAGGCTGGCGTCTGTGCTTCCTCAGTGGCTTAGGTGACCATGACTTCCACAAAGGCACCAGGCCCTGCAGACTTGTCAGCATACAAACTAACAAGAAAGGAACCCTACACTTCAGCTGAAGGATCCAAGCATAAAGCTCCAGACTGGGCTGAGAGATGAGTCGGTCCATTTGCCAGACTGTCTGGTCAACCATGATGTACAGGAGCTCTTAGGGCCAAAGATGGGGGCCTCTTTGAATTAGCAGCACAGGGCAGCCTTGTGCCATAGGTGAGGAGAAATTGTCACTTAGCTTAGATTTCTACATCCACATGGTTTTCTCAGCAATAAGGCAATGGTAGGTGAATGAGGACAGTGGCTGCTTTGCATGGGACAGGCACACCCCAGAGCCACTTCAGTTCCCAAGTGGCTCAGGAATTCACTCCATTTCCAAAAGATGCCGAAGGCCTGCCAGACGGCCTGGAGGCTTGAGGGAGCTCAACTCCTGACTGTGGGTCTCTGGAGAAGGCTACCACATTTGGAGACAATTGGGCTCGCCATGGTCATGGTCAGTGAGGCACTTGGAGGCCTCTCAGCAAGAGAAAGCATCTATTACATCCGGTATGAGCTCCACATTTCCCAGACTGAGCATCTGTCCTGCAGCCTTGGGTACCACATGACGTCTGCCCTGTTCCTGGGGCGTTGGTGCCAGCACCCCCTCATACTCCCTACAGATGAGTGAGCTTTGGAGGCATACTGATCTCCCACCCCAGGCAGCGTGGCTTTGTTTTTGTTTTTGTTTTTAACCTGAAGTGTCCATGTTATCAAATGATATCTGCCTCGTTTCATTTTTTAACAACTGTTGTCCAAAACAGTTTAATTTTCAATGGATTGATATCCCCATAGGAGAAGATAGTGTGAACAAATTTCACCAAGTAAAACTCCATGAAGTATCACAATTTTCATGAATGGAAAAAAAGAGAGAGAAAAATGGTGACTGTCACTGTGACACAAGGAGTACAGAGTGGCCATCAGTCCCATCAGTCATCGGGCATTAGGTCATTTCACAACGTGTTTGTGAGACAGACCCAGCATTTAATTTAGGCTTTTCACTATTTTTAAGCAAACGAATATGGAGATCTATATAGCAATTACACATCAAAAATTGCTTACTGCATTCAGGTAGAGTTGGGAGTTTTTCTTTAATTTATATGCACTATGAATTTTTCCCTTCAGAGTTTGTCATTTCCCCTAACAATTACTTATGGGCCCATGAGACAGAAAATCCCTCCCCCCACCAAGACTGCAGAGTGCAGAGTCAGCACTGTAGAGGGAACTGGCATGCTGGGTCTTGGTGGGTCCATGTCCTGAACGTCCACATGTGGGGACACACTTGACCAGCAGGCTCATTAGATGAATCACTGACTACCTGAGTCTGAGTGGAGTCTACTCAGAAATTCCCTCCGTCCCCTCTCTCACCCCTCCAGTGAGTGGCCGTTGAGGAGCCAGGGTCATTACAGCTCATCAGTTATTTCCTGAGACTGAGAAGTTTGACGTAATTCTGAGGTCCAGTGATACCCAACTCAGTCAAGTCAGCTGTTCACTGTCATCGTCCCCAGGCCCCCGTGCCTGTTCCAGGCCTGCTGCCATGGGAGGCATGTTGAAATGTCTTTGGGATTTCTGCAGCTCATCCTTTGGGACTGAGAACAAGAAGTCAAGACACTGAAGAGCCAGAATTTGTTGTTGTAATTACCTTTGATTATGGCTGTTCTAACTGGGGTGAGACAAAATCTAAGTGTTGTTTTGATTGCATCTCTTTTATAGCCAGGGAAGTTGAACACTTCTTCATGTATTTACTGGCCATTTGTATCTCTTCCTTTGAGAACTCCCTGCTCAATTCATGGGTCCATTTCTTCAAAGGGGTGTTGATTCTTTGGGGGCTGAGTTTTTTGATTTCCCTGTAGATTCTGGATATTAGTCCCTTACCGGATAAGTAGCTGGCCAAGATTTTCTCCCAGTCCATGGGCTGTCTTGTACACTTGCTCTTTCTCCAAAACTTCATTCTTAGGAGACTACGGGATCCCAGCAGAGCTGTGTTAGTCCCTCTCAGGGGTGATACCCCCAGGTGGCCACTTCACCTTCCTGGCCCTGGGGACCAGCTTCCAGTATGCTGGGTGGGGACCAGCTGCAGCATCATCCAAACCACAGCTCACACAAGGCACATGCATGCTGTGTTCTCCCTTGGGGGCATTAAGAATACATTAACTCCACTTCTTTATTTTTGACAGGTAGAATAAAAGTCTATGACGTTAAAATGCAATTGAAAATGAGCTCTTTTTTAAGAGAAAAAGTATGAAACAAAACAGGAAAGGGGGGGCCACATGGGGCTCTAAGCCAAGAGACAGCAGGCAACGCCTAGAAGCTACAGTTTGCAGACTTGGGGACCCATGTGCACCCAGATCCAGGTCCCCAACACATGCAGTGCAGTGTTGCCGGATGGAAGGCTGGTCTTCATGTCTGGGGATAGTGGTTTTTAGAAACCCTGTGTTCTGAGTGTACATTCTCCAGTTTAATGCACATGGACACACATCTGTGTGACTCAGACTCTGTTGTTGCAGAAGAGAAACCAGTTCAAATGATGCGTCCGAAGCCCATCACCATTGGCAGCCCCTCTGCCAACCACTTTATCACTTATCGGATCGTGTCTGACTCATTGGCTCCCGAAAGCCCAGGCCCAGCTTCTGCCAGTCAACTGTCCTCGGTCCTCACTCTCAGCTAGCCCTGCTTGTCTTCCCGGGGTGGGGGAGGGCTTGCTCCCCCAGGACACTGTCTACCACTCTCCAGTGTCTCTGACTTCACCTGGGGGGGTCCCTCCTTCAAACACTGTGCCCCCCAACATATCTGTTCTCACTTAGGAGCTCACACCCCAGACTGTCCAATTCACACACCAACATGTCTCTTCCCTTGGGGGGCTCACTCCCCCACACTGTCCACTGCACATATTAGCATGTCTGTCACTTGAGGGGCTCGCCCAACCCAGACTGTTCACCACACACACCGGCATGTCTCGTCATGAGGGAGAGCTCATACCCCAGACGGTGTCCCCATTTCCTCACTCAGTCCACACGTTTCCTGGACGCTTGTCCAGGCCCTGCCACACAGCTGTGAGTAGAACCGAGACAGAGTCTGCACAGCACATTCTGGGGGTGAAAGGTGGGGAAGGGAGAGGACGGAGTTTAAAATGTGCAAAGAAGGAAATCTAAGACAGTGATGCGTGATGTGGCAAAAGGAGAGCGGCAGGCTTGGGGCAGAGAGGACACCTCAGGGAGGCCTCAGGAGCCGAGGTCGTGGCGCTGAGGTCAAGGGAGAGTGCAGAATAGGAGTTGTCGTGGTACAGCGATGGAGTTTGTGTCCGGCACATAGGGGGTGGGGGCCCAGGGAGGCAGAGCCACATTAGGACCAGAAAGGAGCTGTGGCACGGGGCTCAGGGCTGAATGTTTTCACTTCATCTAAGGAGGGGGTTAGGGAGCAGCCTCATGCTGGGGTCAAGGTGATGGTCCTGGGGACAGATGGGTGGGGAGATGGAGAACTCAAGGACAATGTCTAGCTATTTCACCTAAGCTATTAGGTGAATGTTGTGGCCATGGTGTGGGTTTAGGAAGACGAGGAGAGACACAGGGAGTGGAACGAATGTGCTGCTCCTCGGTGAGACACAGGTGGCAACACCAGACCACGACAGAGGGAGGAGTGGGGCAGAGGGCCCCTTCAGGTCAAGTTCAAATCCAGTTTCCACGAGAGGGAGGGCGGTCTGCGCTCATACCTGTTGTTGCATGCCCCAGTGATGTGTCTGTACTTGTTCGCCAGGCAAGTGTCGGGACACTTTGGTGGCAGCATGTGAGGTAGGCATCCAGACAAGTTGGCAATCAGGTTCAGGAGCTCTTCTGATAGGACATCTGAGAGACAAGACACCACACACCGTCCAATGGCAACAACCAATCTACCTACAAAGTAAATCTTCCAGGGTAAATCTTGCAGCCTCTGAAGGGTTTCCTGTGCGGTCCCCAGTCCCCGGTCCCTGGTCCCCGTCATTCTTTCCACAAAGCCTGCTTCTCCCTTTCAGTCTGTGGTTCGCTCATGTACTTCCTTCAAGCTTCCTTATTGCCAGGAATGTGGGGCTTTGTTCAGTTTCTGCTTTGTGAAAAGCACAAAAGCAGCCCAAGGTCCCTGAGCCCTAGGGAGACAAGCCAGAAAGCCACTTCTCAGAGTTGTCACCCATCTCACAGGGCACAATGCCACTGCCGGCCCATTATAGCTGCACAGGGAGGCATTCCTGTCTCGTGATGGCCCCATTCTTCAGGAGACGGCTAATATATATACTATTTGTTCCCTCAAAATTTGCCTTGGTCAGGTTTGCTCATAGTATTCACCTGTCCTTCTACAAAACCTCTTTTCCTTTTCATTGGTTCTTGGGTCCTGTGTAATAAACGCTCTCTAGATTAGAGCCCCAGAGAGCAGGCTCCTTTATTTTTTTGCCAATTCTGTCTATATTTACATTACTCAACAAATCAAAGAGGGCTGCTTTATTGTCCATCAGGAGACATAGCCATTGTTACCTCTCTGAAATGGTTTAGATAATTCTTTGAAAATAACGCCCCAAAACTTTGGTTAGATTCCAATGAAATTGAGATATTTACTTGAAAAACTGGGAAGAAACACATTCCATTTTCAAACAGAAGACAAACAAAATGAGCCTTTTAACAGTGGAACATTTTGACAAGCTTAGACTAATTTACATTTAATTAATACAGGGCTGTGTGTTCCACTATGCTAAAACACAACACATAAACCCTGCAAAGTGAGCACGTAAACAAAATGAAGGTTCAGAGCATCCTGGAAGAAGGGGTTTGACATCAGCTTAGTCACAGCTTGTCAACTAAGTGATTGACAGGAAGTCTTCTTGGGTCCTTTTATTTTCTTCACATCGAAATGCTTTTGACTGGCAACATTTATATCGCGGAAGAAACTTAAAATCCTCCTACAGTGTGGAGTTTTTGACTTCTACATTGCGGCCTGGACCAAATGCATCAGCCTGTTTTCCTTAAGCGCCCACACCCTGGCCTACATAGCAGCCTCCTGCTGCAGAAGCATGAGTCAGAAGATCCTGTCCTGTGACGCCAAAACAAGTTGTTCTGTTGTCACTTCTGTCAGCCCTGACTGATCCCATGACAACACAGGGGACCAGTGTCCTTAGGAACATTTATATATTTTTTAAATTAGGATAGATTTGTTGTTCAGGGGGATTCATTGTGACAATTCTAAGTAGGCTTATTTTGTACACTGGTTGCATTGCCCCCACTGTCTCTCCCATTCAACCCCCTCCTTGCCCCACTTCAAGAAATTGCAAGAGGTTTCTTCTATTTCATAAAGGTATATGAAATTCACCAGCCATATTCCTTCACCTTAATCTTCTTCATTCACTGTCCCCCTTCCCACAAGAACCACCCCCACACGGTGCCAATTTTACAGTCCTGTCTTTCATTATTAATTTCTAAGTCAATGTTCAAAGGGGTTTCTTGATGTATCGCCACTGTGATTCTACTTTACTTTGGTCCATTTGACCCCTTCCATTACTCTCCCTTACCCCTTCCCTCCCACCCCTGTTTTTCAACAGCTTTAAATATATATTGTCATATCCTCTACCTTCACATCTTATGTTATGTGATTTTACTGATTACCATTCTCTTTTCCTTTCCCTCTTTCCCCGAGTTCCATGGGGTAGTTCCACTGTCACAAACGTGTTCTACATCTGAGTTTGTATATGATCATGTTTGGTTTTGTGTATGTGTTTACCTTTGGCTCTATCTTCCACGTATGAGAGGAAACATGCAGCTTTTGTGTTTCTGATCCCAGCTAACTTCACTTAACATGGTGTCCTCCAATTGCATCCATTTACCTTCAAACCACATGTCATCATTCCTTATGGCTGAGTAATACTCCATTGTGTATATTTTCCATAATTTCTTGATCCGTTCATGAGTTGTAGGGCACCTGGGTTGTTTCTAGAGCTTGGCTGTTGTGAATAGTGTGCGATGAGCATGGGTGTACAGGTGTCTGTACTGTATCCTGTGTTACGTTCTGTTGGGTAGGTGCCCAGGAGTGGTATCACTGGGTCATATGACAGTTCTATTTCCAGTTTTTGAGGACTCTCCATGCTGCTTTCCATAGTGGTTGTATTAATTTGCGTTCCCACCAGCAGTGTAAAAGGGCTCCTGTTTCACCACATCCTCACCAGCATTTGTTGTTGTTATTAGCATTGATTATGGCCATTCTAACTGGGGTGAGATGAAATGTAAGTGTTGTTATGATTTGTGTCTCTTTTATAACCAGGGAAGTTGAACACTTCTTCATGTATTTACTGGCCATTTGAACCTCTTCCTCTGAGAATTCCTTATTTAATTCATGTGCCCATTTCTTCATTGGGTGTTGATTCTTTGAGTGCTGAGTTTTTTGGGTTCCCTGTAGACTCTGGATATTAGTCCCTTATCAGGTGAGTACCTGGTAAAGATTTTCTCCCATTCTATGGGATGTCTCTTGAGTCTGGTGACTGTTTCCTTTGCTGTGCAGAAGCTCTTTAGTTTGATGCAGTCCCATTTGTTCATTCTTTCTCTTAGATGCTGAGCCTTTTGAGTTTTATTTAGGAAGTTGTTCTCTATACCTATCTGTTCTATTGTATTTTTTAGGAACATTTTTCAATCACATGGTCTGAGCAAAAACCATTTCAAATGAACTTTTTGTCACTATAACATAAGTGTTAAGTTTAGGACCTGAGAATTCTGGTTAATCCTGGTTTATGTGAGTTTGTCTTATTCTAAAAGCCAAGTAAGTCAGGGCTAGATTAACCAATAGTGAGTTAGGAGGAAGAACTCAGAGACCAGGTAGCTCAGGGCGGTGCACTGAAGACTCCTTGCTAAGTGTGTGAACAAGAGAGCTTGCATTCTGGTGCCCCACCATAGAAATTATAAATAAGTCCCTTGATTAAATTTGCTGTCATCATCATCTCCCCATCTTATGTCTGCAGAGGTACTGATCCAAGGCAACTCACTCCTTCTTAGTCTTCAGTAGCCATCAGGAGAACAGCTGGTGGGCTTGACCTCATTTTTAGAGATGTATAAGTCAGCTGTCACAGGCCTGGGGCAACTGACTCTCTAATAAGGCCTCAGCTATGTTGTGGGAAACTGGGGTTCCTCTGATCCTATTTGTGCAACAGGTCACTCCTTTTCCTCAAAAAGCTAAGATAAAAGAACAAGCTACCCAAGCCTAACTATGTAGGGAAACCCTGGAAAAATTCCCGAATTATTTCACACCATCAAACAGCATGTTTGGCTGGCTCTCCACATTTGATTTGAATAGCAGAGAAACAGTGTTTCTCAGACTAAAAAAAATGAGAAACTGTGACAGCTTTTAGGCAGCTTAAAAAGTGCTTTCTTCCTGTGACATGCAGGTTGGTGTCCACTAAGAAGCACCCCAAACAAGTGACAATATGGGCCAAGTCAACTCATCCCCTGGGAACTGCTGCTTACCTGTGGGGTGCCGGGACTGTTTGTTTTTCATTGTCTGTATTGAGGTTTCCAGGATCTCCGCAGCTCGGGACATGGCCCTGCTGGTTGGCTCGGGGAGTTTGGAGAAAGACAGAAGCTCAGCTGGGGAGGCGACTTCCCTTCTCTTGAGGTTTCTGTGGCACAAGAAGGAGACAGAGAATAACCTGGGCGTGGTTCTCACTGAGTAACTGTTTGTACCAGACAATGTTCTGAGTACTGTGAGGTGTTCAAAGGTGAAACCTGGACAGTTCCTACCCGCAGGACTGCTGGGGTTAGTAAAAGGGTTATAGCTGCACATAAGGAATCCATGTTGGGCCATAAAGACAAAGCCAGTATTTGCTCTTTACAAACTTCCAGGTCTGCACTCATTTGACTCACATAATGATTCTTTGATTCTCACCAAAACCTAGTTAAACACCGTTTGTCCATGCCCCAGCTGATAAAATGGGAGAGGGGCGGGTACAGCCTGCCCAGGTTTTGGAGCCAATAGGTACTGAGGCTGGGAGCAGCTCAGATGACACCCTGTCCTTCCCAGTGCTGTGCAGGGTCTGACATGCTGCAGCATTAGATAACCTGATAGGTTCCAGACCTGGGAGGTTTGCCTCATCTGCTGGCCTCTCCTCACCTCTCCTCACCCTCTCCCTGTCCTCTCATGTGGGCACTAGCCTTCTCTATCATCATCAACATCAAACGCTGGGACCAAGCAAGGGGTTGAGCTTCACCTGCCCACTAGTATTTGAGGCCCTGAAGTCCCTGGACATACAGGAGAGAGGACGTTTGTAATAACGCTTTTGTTCCACGGGGACCTAGAGCATCCACTGGGCACTTCAGAGTGGGCTCAGAATGCATCTCAGTTTGAGGTTGGCCAGCTGTGGGGCAGAGTGATCACAGCTGTGACCAGGTCCCCAGGCATCTGCCACCAGATGGCATTCCCAGGCAGAGTTACTACAGAGCAGAGGGTCTCTCCAGGAGTGGGAAGGCTAGCATTGCCACCACAAATTCTCAAGCCTCAGAGGACAGGTAGAATTGTGGATCTGGCTGGAAGTCCCCTCCCTGCTGTGATTTAGATGTGTCTCAGAAGGACCCAACCTCACAGCACACAGTTTTGGGGAAAAACAACTTAATTGTTCCTTTCAGTTGTCTTGCTAGCTATAATTAAATGGATTATTTGTATTTTCCATTTATTAAAAGATTAAAATACACACTGCTTACTAAGTGACAGTCATGTTCCAGGTGCTGTGCTGTACTTATGATGATACTGAATTGTACACTGAAAATTTGCTAAGAGATATTTAGTGCTCTATCATAGAACAAAGGTAACTATGGACAGTGATGATGGTGCTGATGAGTTTGATTGTTGTGTAATATCATTGCCTGTGCACGTCAAAGCAAATATACAATAGAAATAAAATGTAAGGAAGAAGAGGGCTTGAGGAGTGATGGTGGAAGATGGTGGGTTAGAAATGTTCTCCATTTGGCTCTCACTGAGAAAAGTCAAGGTAATGGAGGACAGACTACATTCTAAATGAGAGAGGAAGAGCACTGGGAATCAACAGAGGTGAAAGGAAAGCTAAAAATGCATGGAGAAAGAGAAAGATGACAGAGAAAAGTAGAAAGCAGTCTGAAACTCCAATCCCAGCTCCCTGGATGCAGGTGGTGGGGGAAGGGAAGGTGAAGACACAAAGACAAGGTAAGCCAGACAGCCCTGGTGACAGACTGGCAATTCTAACTGTGGGATAAACCCACACTTCCTGTAAGCCTTAAACCCAGTGCAGGAATTTGGTGTGACAGCTGACTACTCCTGTGTGACAGGCCAGCTTTGGAGTAGAATGACATTTTGTCACTGCCCTTATTTTGGAGAGCTATAGCGATGTGCCATCTTGATAAGAGGCTTGTTGCTTGAGACTGAGCTACTCTGGGGACGTAAAATGAGGACCAAATAATCATGGATCAGGGAGTCTTGGGTCACCTGCCACAGTGTCTGGGAGGGAGATGGTCATTAGAACTGGTTTTGGAGAAGGAGAGGGTCTGCTGTGGACCCAATGAGAACAGCCAGGAGAATGGCAGTGAAGGATGCAGTGGGCAGTGGCCCTGGCCTCCCTGGAGAGGAGCAAGTCAACTTGCTGAGGATCACTGCAGAACACAGCACAGAACTTGTGGCTGGCAGAGGACTTGGTGTCTGAGAACTAATCCCCTGGATATGTGTATTTGCTGCCACATGGGACCATGATCTCTGAGTCCAGAACCCTTGGATCACATGACTACTCCCAGCCTTCTCCCTCCCACAGGGCAGTGATCTGCTGAGTGGCATCTGAAAGCACTGAGTCTGTCAGCCAGAGTGCCTGAGTCCCTTAGCTCTCCTCTGCCAGGGAAGAACTCATCATTCTGTTTGTTCTCCAACTCTCTGATGCATTTAGGGGACAACCTTAGGCTTAGAAACTTGCTGTCCTTGGCGGCACAAACTGGGGTGCTGTGGAGTTAGTGGGAACTTTTCATGCACACAGGCTGCAAAGCTCCTTGTGGCCAGAAACAGCTTCCAGTTTACAAAGGTGGCCATATTCTAAAGCGAAAGCAGCCTTGAGGAATATAACTGACCCTTGTCATGCCCTGCCCTCAGCCCACATACAGCAACAACCTGTACAGTAGGAACTGCACAAGAATCCAGATGACTTTCCTCCATGTGAGTGGTGCTGGAAATAAGGCCCAGTGCCAGCAGCATGTGATGAATGTTTCACTATTGAGCTGTATGCTCGTCCAGTGGTAAGAAATTGCACATTGACCCACTAACCACATTCAGACTGGCCCGAATATTGACAATACTTCAAGTAAAAGACTACAGATATTTAAAATTCCCAGCCAATGACTCAGCCACAGACGCATGATAGATCCCATTGCAGAAACACAAGCTATTGAAAAAATGAGGCAATATGACTCCTCCAAAAGACAGCAACTCCACAAGAACAGACTCTGGTGAAAGTGAAGTGAGTGAAATCCCAGATAAAGAATTCAAAAGAATGATCAACAAAATTAGACAGGACACATAAACACCAGAACGAATTCCAGGAGAATGCAAATAGACAATCTAGTGAATGCAGAGAGAATATGAATGAACAGCTTAATTACATAAGGAAGACAATGCAGGATATCAAAGAGGAATTCAGTGAAAATACAGATATACTGAAAACTTAAATTGGAATTCAGGAAAATGAAAAGTTCAACAAGTGAAATAAAAACTCAGTCGAAAGCCTTGCCAATAGACTGCATCAAGTAAAAAGACAGAATACCATATGGAACACCTTCAAGACAGGGTAGATGAATTAGAACATTCAGGTGAAGATAAAAAAATGAATAGAGCATGCAAGACTCTGGAACACCATTAAAAGACCGAACCTATGAATCATGGGCACTGAAGAAGAAGAGGCACAAACTAAAGGCATAGAAAACATATTCAATAAAGTAATAGTTGGAAAAATTCCCAAATCTTGAGAAAAAGGTGACTTTTAGAACACTAAACAGACAAGATCATAAAGGGATCTTTCCACACCATATTAAGTTAAAACATTAAGTATAAAGAAAAAGGAAAGATTATTTAAAGCTGCAAGAGAGATATGACTAGTCATATGCAAAGACTAAATCATCAAAATATAAGCAGATTTATCAACAGAAATGCTAAAGGAGGGCATGGAGTGATGTTTTTTAAGTCCTGAAAAAAATAACTGCCAAGCTAGATTGCTGGGTCCAGTAAAATTGTCATTCACAATTCAAGAAGAAAGAAAAAGTTTCATGATTAAAAAAGAAAAAAACTAAAGGATTCATAACCACCAAGTCAATACTATAAAAGATACTTAAAGCAATCCTACACACAAAACAGTCAGATAAACACAGTGAAAATACAGGAAAGAATAAATCTCACTAGATGAGTAGATAAGCGAATGAGGTTTTGGAAATAATCATCACAAAAAAACCAATCAAATGACAGGAATTACTGCATACCTTGTTTTTTCATTTTGTTAGCATATATTCGTTGTACAGGAGGATTCATTGACAATTCCCAATAACCTTACATTATACATTGGTTTCATTGCCCCTACCATCTCCCCTCAACCCACTCCCACCCCAATGAAAACAATCCTAAGAGGTTTCATTGTTCTATTTTGTATATGAAGTTCATCAACCATATTCCCTCACCTTCATCTCCTCCATTTGCCCTTCCCTCTCTCACAAGTACCCCACACACTGAACCTATTATACAGTCCTGTCTTACATTTTTAATTCCACAGTCAATGCTCAAAGGGGTTTCTCAATGTGTTCCAGCTGTGAACATACTTAACTTTGGTCAGTTCAACCCAGCTCTGTGACACTCCCTTACCCCTTCTTCCCACCCTATAATTCAACGCTTTCAGTACACATTTTTTTCAGTAATAACTCCTAATGTCAATGGTCACAATTCTGTAATCAAAATACATAGATTGTCACATTGGGTTAAAAACTAAGACCCAACCACTTATTGTCTATAAGAAACACACCTCACTGGCAAAGCAAACACAGACTTAAGAGTGAAAGAATGGGAAATCATATTCTAAGCAAATGGATCCCTAAAACAAGCAAATATCTGATAAAGCAGACTTCAAAGCAAAATTTGTCAGAAGAGACAAAGAACATCACTTCATATTCAGAAGGGAACAACCTGTCAAGAGGTTATGACAATTGTAAACACGTATATACCAAATTTTAGCATGCTCAAATTCATAAACATTACTGCACATAAAACCACAGACAGATCCTAACACAAAACAGTGGGTGAAATTAACATCCAACTCTCACCAACAGTGACATCATCTGGACAAAAAAAATCAATAAAGAAACTTCAGGGACTTCCTCAATGGAACTCAGCAGCTCAGCAACTAAGAGAAAGTATAGACAAAAGGGACCTCATAAAACTAAAAAGCTTCTGTTCATCAAAAGAAATGGTCTCTAAACTGAAGAGAACACCCACAGAGTGGGAGAAAATATTTGCCAGCTACACATCAGACAAAGGACTGATAACCAGAATATATAGGGAACTTAAAAAACTGAATTCTCCCAAAACTAATGAACCAATAAAGAAATGGGCAAGTGAACTAAACAGAACTTT